CTCACAGAGATCTTGTAAATTAATTAATTCTTTTTTTGGTGGGTGCTTGTAAAATAAAATCTTTTCCTCAGTGCCAACCCTGCATGGGTCTTGTAGGATCTAAAAATCAAGATTTCAGATCTGTAGGGATTAGGAGCAGAAATTTGTCTTTCCAGAGGAAAATGAGCTCAGAGTTCACCTGGAGATCCAAGACAAGGAACATCTTCCAAACCATTTTTTCACAGAATGCTTTTGGATAATTACAAATAAATAATATTTAAATTTAATTTAGCAAGTTTGCTGTGGGAATTTATTAGAGGTGGAGCCCAAAGTTTCTTTTTTATGAACTATAAAAAGAAGTTTTGCCCTTTTTTGGGTGCTTCAAGAAGTCACATGTGGGATTTGTCATGACAAGGACACGGCACAAGAGCAGAGGAGGGAATTCAGGATATCACAGACGCTCAGAGCAGCAGGGAAAGGAAACAAAGGGGGAAATTACCCCAAAAATCTTTAGGATTATCAACGGTTGTAAAAATTATAATATTGGTTATAAAAACTAAGTTAACAAAAAATATAAATATATGCACAAAATATGTATTACAAAAATACAATATAGAAACATTAAACATTAAACATTAAATATGAAATATGAAATATTAAACATTAAATATTAAACACTAAACACGAAATATTAAATATTAAATATTAAATATTAAATAGTAAATAGTAAATATTGCATGTTAAATATTACATGTTAAATTTTAAATATTAAATAGCAAATAGTAAATAGTATTATATTATATTAACATAAAATATAGAAAGTACAATACATTAACATACACTATATTGACATACAATATAGAAAATATTACTATATAATAGTAACATACAATATATAATATATATAATATATTATATATTGCATGTTATATATTATTATATTATATATTACTGTATTATTATATATAGTATACAATAGGTATTATATATTAATATAAAACTAAAACGAAATAAAACCATATAAATATATATAATAAAAATAAAATAAAATAAAATAAAATAAAATAAAATAAAATAAAAATTATAAATATAGATATAAATATAAATATAAATATAAATATAAATATAAATATAAATATAAATATAAATATAAATAGAAATATAAATAGAAATATAAATATAAATATAAATATAAATATAAATATAAATATAAATATAAATATAAATATCTATTTAGAACGTAGTTATAAAAACTAAGAATTGCTGCCCTCCTGGATCCGCGCATGGCTGGGAGGGCTCTGCCTGACCCAGGAGTGACTCCGGCTGGAAAACCTGGAAATTGCAGAAATTCCTTTGCTCGCGGCCGGAGACGGAACTGCAGGAGGCGAAGGCTCCAATTCCCCTATAGTTTACCTCACATCCCTCCCCTAAAAAATGTTAATTCCATCCCTGACAGGTTTTATCCCTCACATTTTCCCTACTTGTCCCCTAATGATAACCTCAATTTTACCTCCAAAAATATAACCTATTAATCTCCTCAATTTCACATCAAAGTTTTCATTTTCTCCAGGGAATATAACTCATTTTTATCCCCAAAATGTTCATTTTATCTCCTAAAATCCGCAATAAACGGGACACAACGCCCTCATGCAGTACCAGATATTCGCCACAAGGCGGCAGCACTGAGCAGAGAAAAATCCACTTTGGATGCGCTTTTTGTCCCATCCTTTAATTACGGGGGAACGGGGATTTGGCTTTTTGGGGGGATTTTGGTGGATTTAGGGTGTGGTTGGGTTCGTTTTTTGTTCGGTTCGGGGGTTTTTCTGTGGTTTTTCTGTGGTTTTGTGTTGTGGTACCATTGAGTAATGGGCGCCTGCAGTTCCTGATTTTCACCACATGGTGGCAGCAGCGACACGAGTCAAGCCGCCACCCCGACTTGATATTTTATTATCTTTTATTATTTTAGTTTATAAATACAGAAGTTATATTTGCCTTTTCAAACCCTACGGTTCTATAACCAGAGCTTTCTTATATCCTAAATTCCTGTATATAATATAGCAGACACGGCGTTTTATCTATATTAATTTTGACAATATATAAAATATGTATTTGTCAATGTATATTATATTATTATTATATTATATTATATTATATTATATTATATTATATTATATTATATTATATTATATTATATTATATTATATTATATTATATTATATTATATTATATTATATTATATTATATTATATTACATTACATTACATTATATTATATTATTATTATATTATAGTACGTTACATTACGTTACGTTGTTACGTCATGTTATATTGTATTATATTGTATTGCATTATATTATATTGTAGTGTATTATATTGTATTGCATTATATTGTACTATAGATATAATTATATATTCTAGATATCACATATCTAATTATATTATATATTTGTCAATATAGAAAATATATTTTAGTTGTTTATTTTATAAATATATATTTTTGTCAATATATAAAGTATATATATATGTATAAAGATGAGGAACTTTAAAAGTTGTTGGGCTGTCACACAGTGAGGAGTTTTTTAGTTAGGGTCAGGATTAAATGTGTGAGACACATTTAATATTTCTTGTTTGGACTCAGATGTTTATTAGTTCTTATTTATATTACAGTATCACAAACTCTGAGTTCTACTTTAACAAACTAAAAATGGAGCTGTATTTCTTTTCCTGCAAGGCTTTTTAAGGATAAACCGTTTAATTAAATTATTTTTATTTTAAACTTAATAACTAACTACTTGTGGCTTGCAATGTGGGCTTTTTTATCGAATTACACAATACTACTGAAATCTATGAAGAAGGAGGTAAAGAAGAAGGACTAGCTTCTGCCTGAAAATTTTCATTTTGTTATATATATATATATATATATATATATATATATATATATATATATAACTATGTGCTAAAATTCTAAACTTTAGGTTTTCTACTATGGGATATTACACACTTTTATTTAAACTATACACTCATAATATTAGTTCTATCATTTAATTTCGGAAGCTTTCTCTATGGCTTTAAGTTAAAGGCAGAGTTCTCCTGGGGGTTAGTGTCTGCCAGCACAGAAAGTTTGAAATTCTCAGCAACCAGGGTTACAACATTTAATTATCTTTTTCTCAAACGAGAATTTTCCAACTTTCCATCCCTTAATCCATTCTGCATCTTCTGGTCCCTCCAGGCTCCTTGAAGTGCCATAAATTCCCAATCCCAGATTTCCAATTTTCCAACTCGTTTCGGCTTTGAGGCTGGCCGGGGGTTGATTTTGGCAAAAATAACGTGATCGGATGGTGAAAGTAAAAATAATCGGTGCTGGATGCGGTGGGAGGGTCGCAAAATGCGGATTTTTGGGAAGGAGAAGCGATCCCGGTTTTCCCGAACATCCCAAATTCGGGATTGCGGGGAGCGCTCGCTGCGCATGCGCGGGGCCCGCCCGGGATTCACCCGGGATTTAGCCGGGATTTAACCGGGATTTAACCGGGATTCAGCCGGGATTCGGTCCAGGACCGGGAAAAACGCCCTGCCAGGTGGGTGCGAGCCCGGACGGCGGCATTCCCACGGGAACAGCCCCGGGATGAGCCGGGATCGGGAAGCGCCGGGAGGCAGCGGCACCGGGCCCGGCCCGGCCGCGGGCACGGCGGCGGGAAAGGAGCCGCGGTCCCGGATCCCTCAGGGATCCCTCAGGGAAACTCCATCCCGAATCCCTCAGGGAAACTCCATCCCGAATCCCTCAGGAAATCCCTCAGGGAAACTCCATCCCAAATCCCTCAGGGAAACTCCATCCCGAATCTCTCAGGGAAACTCCATCCCGAATCTCTCAGGAAATCCCTCAGGGAAACTCCATCCCAAATCCCTCAGGGAAACTCCATCCCGAATCTCTCAGGAAATCCCTCAGGGAAACTCCATCCCAAATCCCTCAGGGAAACTCCATCCCGAATCTCTCAGGAAATCCCTCAGGGAAACTCCATCCCAAATCCCTCAGGGAAACTCCATCCCTAATCTCTCAGGAAATCCCTCAGGGAAACTCCATCCCGAATCTCCAGGAAATCCCTCAGGGAAACTCAATCCCAAATCCCTCAGGGAAATTCCATCCCAATTTTCTCAGGGAAATTGAGCCTCAAATCCCTCAGGGAAATTCCGCCCCAGATCCCTCAGGGAAATCCCTCCATGAAACTCCCTCACAAATCCCTCAGGGAAATACCACCCCAAATCGCTCAGGGAAATGCCATCCCGGATTCCTCAAGGAAATTCAGTCCCAAATTCCTCAGGGAATTTCCATCCCAAATTCCTCAGGAAAATCCACCCCAAATCCGCTAGGAAAATTCCACTCCATATCTCTCAGGGAAATCCCTCCATGAAACTCCCTCACAAATCCCCCAGGAAAATTCCACTCCAGATCCCTCAGGGAAATCCCTCAGCGAAATTCCACCCCAAATTCCTCAGGAAAATCCACCCCAAATCCCCCAGGAAAATTCCACTCCAGATCTCTCAGGGAAATCCCTCCATGAAACTCCCTCACAAATGCCTCAGGGAAATCCCACCCCAAATTCTTCAGGGAAATTCCATCCCAAATTCCTCAGGAAAGTCCACCCCAAATGCCCCAGGAAAATTCCACTCCAGATCCCTCAGGGAAATCCCTCCATGAAACTCCCTCACAAATCCCTCAGGGAAATCCCACCCCAAATCCCTCAAGGAAATTCCATCCCAAATTCCTCAGGAAAATCCACCCCAAATCCCCCAGGAAAATTCCACTCCAGATCCCTCAGGGAAATCCCTCAGCGAAATTCCATCCCAAATCCCAAATCCCTCAGGGAAATCCCACTCCAAATCGCTCAGTGAAATGCCATCCCAGATTCCTCAAGGAAATTCAGCCCCAAATCCCTCAGGGAAATCCCTCAATGAAACTCCACCCCAAACCCCTATCAAGCTTTCCCAGTTTCTGTACAGCCTGGTACAGGTGTCCCAATCCCAGTACAGCCCAGTACAGCTGTCCCTGTCCCAGTCCATCCCAGCAGTGCTCTCCCAGTTCCTCCCTCTTTTGAGAGACCTCAGAAGCCAGAGCCACCTCAGCACATTCCTGCTGTTCCAGGTGGCACATGCCACAGGATTTCCTGTGGAATAAGTGCTGCCTTGCCTTAAAAAAAAAAACCCAAAACAGTACAGGAAATATGAATATGAAAATGTCACAGTGAGATTGACACTTTAGACTCTGAGGTCACATCCAGGGTAGAAGGGTTGAGGTTGCAGGAGCCATGGAGGAGCTGGAGGACAATCCCAGCACGTGGGTGTATCCCAGGATTTTCTGTGCAGCCTCTGGTGATTCCCTGCCTGCAGCACGCTCTGCCCATGAATTATTCAGGTTTTTATCAGGTTAGAGTGTGTGTGTTGACATGGTGTCATCCCGGATTCTTAATCAAGATGCCAGGGAAGATGGAGCAGCTGCCCCCTGAGGCTTCGTTAGCCGTGCCCATCATCTGCTCACGGAGTTATTACAGTTCCTATAAAGCTGAATTCTGGGAATTCCAGCCTGTCACTCAAGCACCCTGAGAGCCCAGCTCTCCTGGTGGGGTTTGACTTGGCTGCTCCTCCACAGGAGCACCTGGGAATGCTGCAGCAGTTTGCCCTTGCTCTGCTGCTCTCTTAAGGTTTCGTTATTTTTACTCATTTTTAGTGATTCAGGATTTAAAAGTGCCTTTTTCTATACTCACACAACATTATAGTTGCCCTTCTTTAAAAAAAAAAACAAAAAACCCCAAAAAAACCCCAAGAACCTATAAAGGTTATAGCGAGTGATTTTAACATTAATATGAAGTGACAATTCTTCCTAAGGTTTGATGATTTTATAAATAAAAGCACAAGCCTAAAGCCATTTATTTATGATTGATTATAGCACTGATGAATTGAGTAACACATAATATCTTCTATTATATGGGGTCTGAAATAATTTTGTTTTCAGTAGCTTGATTTTCTGCAAACTCTTTTGCTTTTATGTGTTTATTCTTCTGTTCATCCTGACCTTTTTAAATAAATACTTTCCTTTCTAGGCTAGGTGGAAAAAACTGTTCACACCAGAGGCCATCACACTGCACAGCCAGTTTATTCTTTAGTAAACCCACTCATTTATGCAGCTTGATTTGTTTTCCACATGAGAATATTCCTGTTTTCCCAGGGGTTTGCAGCTTACTCTGAAAATGGCACCTTTTAAAAGCAATTATCCTTAATCCTCTTTAACCAGTGGCTTTGGTGTTAGGTCTTTTTAGACCTGGATATTATTTAATAATTTTTTTTAATAACAAGCTAAGCACATAGGATGATGTGCAACTGCAGAATGTCCTCAGCAGTCACAAATCACTCACTCTAAAGAAATTTCCTTTCTGCCTCTTTCTAGTTCTGCACAATTGGTGTCTCCTTGCATTGAGCAAAATGCACATCACCAGCCCTGACACATGGAGAGTTCTGTTTTATTGAGCAATAACTTCATGTCAAATCAGCTGCCAGAGCTTGCAGTTTGCACAATTCTCATGGAATTGTGGAGGATCCCTCGGGATGGGCTCTTGTCAGTCCACCCAATGCCTAAATGAAAATGTCATTTTACCACAGCAACCACTTCCACAGAACTCCTCTGTTCTCCAGCCTCACTAGAGCTATAAAAGAAGTCAAATATTGTCAAATATTGTACAGGGAGATGCATACAAATCACATTAATGTTAATAAGCAGAGATTAAGATACCACAGTTATGAAGAAGTGAAATTCAGTTGGTAAGGAGCTGATGAGGGATCTATTGTAACAAAACCACTTTAAAATATGCATATTCCTTAATAATCCACTACTTTAACCATGTTCCTAAGTGCCACATCCACACAGATTTTAAATACAGAGCTCTAAAAAGCTCTAAGAACAAATATTGTTCTACTTTAGGGCTTTGCACAGGAATAAATGTAGATGGAGAATGAGGAGCAGCTCTGCAGTAATAGTTTGGGAATACAAATAAGTAGAGTGCCAAGAATGAGAGAATTCATTCAAAATTAGGAAAACTCTGCTTCAGCATCAAAGCTCATTTTCCTCTCAGAAACCAATGCTAAGGCCCAGCTCTTGTGGATTTCTGACAGGATGGGTTTTGTTTCTTCTTTGAGAAAGCTCTGGGGACTTGCAGAGTTCAGTAGAACTGAAGCCTCATCAGAAGTAATTCAGACAGACAAGTCCGTTCCCAGATTCAGTGATGTAATTGAGTAAAGTCTGCTGGAAATTGAAAAGCTTCAGGAGTGACACTGATTAAAGGGATATCTGGCAGCTTTTCATTTGACAATCAAATTACAGCAGAGGACTAATCAAAGCAAGATACTTACATGATCTATATCTGTATTTATAACATTTTCATCAGCTCTGAAGTGTTAATCCCAGTTTTGAAATTCATGCTGTGATTACCCTTGTTTTGCCTTCACTGAAAGGCATTCTAAGGAATCCTAGAAATTCAGATTTTAATTTTTTTTTCTGATGATTCTTCAGCCAGATAGAAACTCATTTCTTGCTCTTCCCAAGCCTTACAGAAATTCCTACTCCAGAGTGCTGGAGGCTGTAGGAAATGAAGTATCTTGTCTCCTTGGAGACCTTAAAAGAGCTGATTGTGTGAGCTGAACACAGCACACAAATGACAGGCCAGAGCCCAACTGTGTAAATCCTTCTTCAAACTTTTACTAATTCTGCTGGGAACAAAACTGGAGGAAGAAAAAAAATTATCCCAGTTCATAACAAGATGTGTGCAGTTATACCAACACTTCTATTTTTTGAAGGATTTCCAGTATCTTTAGAAACAGCACTGAATGTTTTGCATGGATTTAATGAAGAGAAGATTTTTAGAAAGGCTTTTTGCTCATGAAGTAGAAATAGATTTTTGAACAGGAAAATGCTCTTGTGCTTTAAGGTTGATGGGAGATAGGGGTGGAGAACAAATTTCATATTCAAGGCCTGTGGAGAAGCTCATCCCAGGTGTTTGACACTCTGAAGGACAAGAGTTGGTTCTTCACACCCACAAAGTAAAAATAAATAAATTTTAAAAAAAAAAAAAACACAAAACATAAAGCAAAAAAAAAAAATTTTACCCACAAAGTAAAATTCATGGACATGCAGGATTTTCTTGCTGCATCCTGGGAGGAGTTCCCAGTTTTTATTTCCAGCAGCTGATGGATGCACCAGAGCCAGGCTGGGGGATCACCTCACTCAGTTTTACAAACTGTGAGTTTTATAGTACTTTATGTTAACAAATTAAAAATGGAGCTGTATTTTTTTTTTTTCTATAAGGATTTTTAAGGATAAACTGTTGAATTAAGAAATGACACTTAAATTATTTTTACTTTTAATGTAATAACTAACTACTTGTGGTTTGTAATGTGGATTTTTTTATCTAATTACACAATATTACTTAAACTCATGAAGAAGAAGGGGAAGAAGGTGGTGAAGAAGAAGGACTAGTTTTTCTTCTAAAACTTCTATTTTGTTTTATATATATTATAAGATTTTAAACTAAGTATTTTACTATGTGAAATGGATTAAGAGGTTCACTGGAGAAACATCTACAGGTTTTGTGCTCTGTGCTTTGCACTTGGGATCACTGAGTCTCTGTGTATAAGAAGGGACTTGTACATTAACTACAGTTCAAAGAGACTAAACTTGGCCTTCTCCCTTGAAAGCTGAATGGGAATTTTGTATTTTTTTTAATGTATACAGTCTGTCCTAAAGATATTTCCAAAGACAGCAGCAGTAGCTGTGGGAATCACAGTTTTTGGTCTGATCAGACCCAGTTTTGGTCTGATTCTGAGAAAAAGAAACAAAAAATTCACCTTACTCTGCATAAAAAAAAAAAACAACTTGTGATGGAGGGAGAGAGAAATTGCAATCAGTTAAATATCTGAAGTGATATTATATACTTTTATTTAAACTACACACTTAAAATTTTAGTTTCATTATTTAATTTTGGAAGTTTCCTCTACAGCTTCAGGTCAAATGCAGTGTTCTCTTGGGGGTCAGTGCTTGTTAGCACAGAAAGTCTAAAATTCTCAGTAACCAGGGTTCTGACACTCATTGCTGTTCTTTATTTATTTCTCCTGTTCAGATGCATCACCGTGCACGTCACACCCGCGTGCTGAAGCCATGAATTGCAGAAAATTACCCTCAGAACCACGGAGAATTTTCCCTGCTGCCAAAGCCCCCAGCCAGCAGCCATCCCACATCCTGGTGGTGGATGTCACCTCCCCTTCCTGGGCCAACACTTGCTCCGTGCTCTCCGAGGCTCTGGAGAACGTCCTGTGCCTGGCGTGTGGCCTGGCAGGGCCCTGCAGGGTGCCCCTGCTCAGCCTCTACGTGGTGCAGCCCCAGCAGGAGTGTCTGCTGCCCTTCACGGTATGCTCCAGGCTGTGCTGCTGCTCAGGGGACAGAAAAAAAAAAAAAAAAAAAAAGTTAATTATTTATATCTAAATTCATATCTAAAAATCTGTACACAAATTTAAAAATCTACCCTTCTCAGGAGGATCGTTTCTCAGTGAGGTCAATTTTATGAAAGGGTAAAGTTGAAAAGGAGGAGTGTCCTTTTTGATCTGTGAATCTGATAAATTAGGTTTTGTGCTCTTCCTTCCTAAAACATCTTTTTTGGAGCATCTGTTGCACCTTTTGTGTGCTGCTTTATGCTGTATTGCTTCTCTGTCAGAATTATCACACACAGTCTAGCTGGACAAATATTACCAATGTGTGAGAGGTTCTAGGTATTGAAGGGGAAAGCTGCAGAGTTAAAATATAAAATATTAAATATCTGTGCTGAATTTGAGAAACATCCTGAAATCACAGAATCATCTGGAAAAGTCCTCTAAGACAAAATCCATTTCTAAACCCAGCACTGGCAAATCCACCACTTAACCATGTTCCTAAGTGCCACATCCACACAGATTTAAAATACAGAGCTCTAAGTCAGTAAGAACAAATATTGCTCTCATTTAGAGCTCTGCACAGGAATAAATGTAGATGAAGAATGAGCAGCAGCTCTGAGGAATAGTTTGGGAATACAAATATGCATCTTAAAGTTCACAAGAATTTTTGAAGTCATCCTGTTAGAAATAATCATACAGCACCAGTGTAAGCCCACAGGATTAACCCTTCCACTTTATACAGCAATGGTGGGAAAATTCTGAAAATTTTGTCATCTTTACATCTTGAGAAAAATAAAAAAACAGAGGTCAAGAGTAAATAAGCAAATGTGATCTGCAAGAAGACTCTGGCTAATGGTGGTGTTTATTTTGTAGGAAAGGTTATAGATAATGTGACAAGGATAATCTTATGACTGCTGCTCTTGATCAGCTGTCTTTTTTATTTAAACAACAATTCCTCATTTTGATAGTCACAGTTTTTAAAGGCAAAGGAGCCCTTAGATCACTGTTTTGTTCATATCACAGGTTATTATATTTCACTAAAGTAGCCCTATCTCATTAAACCTTCCTTCCTGAAAGCCATATCGTTTTGATCTGAAGACAAGATAGGTAATCAAGTACTTCTCTTGATAATTTCATCCAGTGGTTAATAATTGTCATTGTGAAACCTGGACCTGGTTCTTAATTTGCATGTATTTGCTTTATCCTCCTGAGACTTTGTAATATATTTACTTTTCTGGCTAGCTTGAAGACCATGCTAGCATTTTATCCTTTCTTCCTCTAAACAGGAGTCCCTTCTCTGTTCTGGCTGCTAAATCAAGAAAAAGTTATAAGTTTAACTGCAAAATATTTTTACAATTATTTTAATAATTTCCAAGCCATTCTTTGTATTCACTCTGCTGGTTTTTTGGGTGCTACATTGCACTAGCAGACATTAGCTGCTATACTGAAGCTGTTTTTCAGAGCTGTGTTAGACAAATCATGAAGTCAGGAAAGCCCCAGAGCCGAAAATAGAGATGGGGAGAGTACATGGGGAAGTGTCACACACACTTACCCTGGTTTTAACCTTTCCCCTGTGGTTGTTTATGGTCTCTGTTCCCACTGGTCTCCCCAGTAGGAGAGTCCATAAAGCCTCCCTGGAAAGGGCAGGGAGGCCAAAGAAAGAGAAGCCAGAATGAAAGCACGTAACTGTGGGGAAAAGTAAATGGTGGCAAGATAAGAAATCAGCATTGAAACATCAAAAAATTTAATGTGGGACTGAGTAAGGACTGAGCAGAGCCTTTGTAGCTTTCCACTCAGTCCTGCTGAAAGCCCACCCTACAAAACAGGGCACAGGGTTCCTTCAGTGACTCAGGCCTCCACACATCTGAAACAAGTCAAATGTTCACCTGCTGCCTCTTCAGTGGGGAAGGTGACCTCTGGCAGCAGTGTCTTGTATTGCTTTAAATAAATTTGGTAGAGTTCACTCAGTATCTTTCCTGTGGCCACAATGTACCAGTTTAGCTGCTGCATCTGTCTCAGCTCTGAGTTCTTGGTGAGGTTCAGGTGAGCTGGCTTCTCTGTGACCACCAGCCTTCCTCCACATTATGGAGAGGTATTTCGTGTTGTTTACCAGCTCTCTTGGATTGAAAAGACACATGTCTGCTAAGGAAGGCAGGAACTTTCCTTGAAATGGAAAATGTAAACCTCCTCCCTCTGAATTATTATAATTTTGCAATTAAGGGGCTCTCAGGTGAAGACATGGGAATAGGAATAACAGGAAAATTAAAAATATAAATTCAATTGTACAAAAAAAAAGAAAGCAAACAACTGACAGTCAGAGCAGGCCCTGACCCCCTGTGGGTCAGGGAGGTGGCAGCAGTCCCATCCCAGGGTGGCTCAGCCCTCCTGCAGTGCCAGCTGTGCTTCTGCTGGAGCAGGATCTTGGACAAGGGAGGAGTTTTCCTATGGATCTCCAGAGCTGGGGGAGATGGGCCTGGACTCCCTCTGGGAGTGCAGTGGGGAAGAAAGCTGCTCCTCTGGGAATGCAGTGGGAAGAAAGCTGCTCCTCTGGGAATGCAGTGGGAAGAAAGCTGCTCCTCTGGGAATGCAGGGGGCAAAGGCTGCTGTGCTGTTCCCAGGTCAGATTGTATCCAGGTAGGAATGCTTGGCTCCTCCCCATGGGTGCAGCCTCTCCCAATGGGATGATGGAATTTTCTCAGCCATGCAGGGACACTCACTGGCCCATGAACAGAAGATAATTAATAATTAATGGCCCATGAACAGAAGAGATCTCCTGGAGGGAGGAATGGTTGTGGAACAGATAAAGAAAGTTGCCCAATGAACAGCAAATGACTGCCCCACTCTAGCAGATGATAATAGAATACAAACCCCCAGCTACGTTTTGTAACCTAAGCCACCAGCCTTTCCTGCTCCTTGAACCCTGTTTTGCAGCAAGTGAGAGAAAACTTTGCCCGAATTCAAGCCTGCATTTCGGAGCTCCGCTCGCTCCCGGCTGAAGGCTGCTTCCCACAGGGGGGGAACGGAGTGCTGCAAGCTGTGCAGGATGGATTGCAGCAGTTCAAGCAGTACAGCAGGCACACAGCAGCAGGAGGCTCCACAAATAATTCTGTTGAGGTAAGAAAATGCTGGGAAGGGAGTGGGAGCCATCTATTCTTGTTTGAAAGCAAAACCAGTGAGAGACTCCAAGTCAGAAATACAGTTTATTCGGAAAAGGAAAAAAAAAAAACAAACCAAAATACATGCAATAATACAAAAGAAAAAACCACAGACAGAGTCAGAATACAACCTGACACCCTTTTGGTCAGGGTGTTGGTAGCAGTCCCAATTGGAGTGGCTGCAATCCTCCTGGAGTGGCAGGTGTGGTTCTGTCAGAGCAGTGATCTTGTAGAAGGGTGTAGTCTTCCTCTGAAATCCAGTGATAAAACACAACTATTCCTCTGGGAGCCCAGTGGAAAGGCTGAGTCTGGTGTCCCAGAAACTCAGATTATATCCAGTTAGGAATGCTTGGCTCCTCCCTCTGGACAGAGCATCTCCCAGTGGGCTGCTGTAACTTTTATCAGTCATGCAGTGACATTCAATAGCCCATTAACAGCAGATGTTTCCCCGGGGGGAGGATTGGTTTGTGCAAGAGATAAAGAAAACTGCCCAATGAACAGAAGAGAACTGCCCCACCTCCAGCAGATGGCAAATAGAAAACATCTTGCCTTGCAATCTAGGACACCATCCCACATTATTATGCTTTATAAATGTGTTTTGTGTGCAGTGAACATGCAGAAAAATTTAGGTGTTCAGCACTCTGGATGTGTCAGAGATCCACAGAAATCCTGAAGGAAGATATCAAGTCCCCAAATTCTTCTAGACAGATTCCTATGGAAAATGGGACACATCTAGGGAAAGCTGCCCTGGTCCAGGATCTGGTATATTTTGGTGGACACATTTTGGTGGATTTTGGTGGCTGTATTTTCAGCTCTAAATGTGTGGTTTTGCATAAAGGGGAGGGAAGCTGCTAATAACACATGAGAACAGATGTGTAAATGCAGAAAGCAGAGCAAAGTTCACAGGAGGAAGTACTTTTTTAAGCAGTTTCAAATGACATGAAAGGACAGGGAGTTATTGAGGGGAAAGGGCTCACACAGAAATGGTGTTTTCCTCTGGACAGCAGAAAATATCAACTCCAAACAATCTTGCATTTCAGACTTCCCTAGCTCAGGGTCCACCTGCCAGTGATCAAAAGCCAAACTGAGATTCCCACAAGTGAAATTTGCCAAGTCTTTCTGCTTTGTTTGGGTCCTTAAACCCTTCCAGAGTCTCACAGAGTCATGGTGGGATCAGGCTGCATTGAGACTCACTCCCAGCGTCTGTCCAGGAAACTTTTCTACTGGTTTTCTACTTTTCTTGGGGCTTTAAGGGCTTTTTCCTGACCATTTGAAAGGTGATTTGGGCTTTAAAGATGGGGGTTGGAACAAACAGAGCATGCTTTGGGGACAAGACCTTTTTTGACACACAACAAAACCCAGGATGTTTTCTATACTTGCAGGAACAAGCTACATTAAAAATTAAGTTAATCCATGGATATAAGGAGTTTTTACTGCCATAAGCAGTCCTTCTAGACTAGTTCTAGATTATGCAATTATTTTTCTAGTTCTTCTAGATTATGCAATTTTATTGTACTTCTCTTTGCAAGGGGATGTAAGACATGCTGCAGGGACAGGCTCTGGTCACTGACAGACAGGAGGGAGTTTTACCCTTACAAAAGGGCAAAAAAAAACTTTCAAAAAAAGGCCTCTTTTTGCTCCAGATACTTAAGTGATTGCAATTTCTCTCCCCCTCCATCACACGCATTTTTTTTTTTATGCAGAGTAAGTTGAATTTTTGTTTCCTTTTCTCAGAATCAGACCAAAACTGGGTGGTGGGAATCACAGCTACTGCTGCTCTCTTTGGAAATATCTTTAGGATAGACAGTATGCATTAAAAAAAATTAAACTCCCATTCAGTTTTCAAGGGAGAAGGCCAAGTTTAGTCTCTTTGAACTATAATTAATGTACAAGTCCCTTATTGCACACAGAGACTCAGTGATCCCAAGTGCAAAGCACAGAGCACAAAACATGTAGATGTTCCTCCAGTGAACCTCTCAGAACATTTCATATTGGCTTAAATGTGAAACAAAGCTCAAGAAAAAAAATTGCTTATAAATCTGCTTTTGAATAGATGAGATATTTCAGCAAGATTTCTCCTCTCTCCATAATGAGACCAATACTACTCAACATCTTCACCTCTCAAGAGAGAATAGGAGTAGAGGCAACTTTTTATGTTCTGATTTGTGCTTCAGATCACAATTTTGACCAGCCAGCCCAGCAGAGACATGGTGAAGCAGCTGGAAAAGAAATTACAAGACGTAGATCTGGTGAGCCTGCGAAGAATACAGGTCATTGAGGTTGTGAAGAGAGATTTCCTGGAGCCTGAGGACGTGGAGCAGTGTGTGCCAGCAGAGGAGCCCAGCAGTGGTGAGTGGAAGGCATTTTTAGGGAAATTATGGCTTTGAGCAGCAGCACTTCTCTGGGGCTTGTAGAACTTACAGACCTCGTGTATTTTTGGAGTCCTGGATGCTGAGAATTTCAGACTTTCTGTGCTGACAGGCACTGACCCCCAGGAGAACACTGCATTGACCTGAGGCCGTGGAGAAGGTTTCCAAAATGGAATGATAGAACTGGGATTGTGGGTGTGGAGTTTTAATAGAAGTGTGTAATATCACAGGGTAGAAAACCTAGAGTTTAAGGTTTTAGAATATAGTCATATATATAAAGCAAAATGGAGGTTTTAGGACAGACACTGGTCCTTCTTCTTCACCTTCTTCTCCATGGGTTTGGGTGGTATTTTGTTACTGGACAGAAAAGTCTCCATTGTGGACTTTGAGTGAATAGTTATTGGGTTAAAAGTGAAAATAATTCAGGTGTCATTTCTTAATTGGACATTTTAGCCTTAAAAGACCTTGCAGAGATAGATATGGGGCCATTTTGTAGCTTGTTAGTGAAATGCTGCAGAACTCACTGTTTGTAAGACTGTAACATAGATAAGAAATAATAAACATCTGAGTCTGAACACAAAATACCGTCTGGAGGGCTTCAATCCCGACCTTGACAGGAAAAAAAAAAGCCAAGAACTGGCAGTGTTACTTCAGCTCCTGGTGTTATTTAAAATTCATGTGTGACACAGCTTCACTGTGGGGGGTTAAAGAGAAAAAGGCATTGAGTTCTGGGGGTAACACATGAAAAAAGCAGCAGCAGTAAGCAGGACCTGTATCAAAGACAAAAAAAAAGCAGCTAATTAAGAGGCTTGGTCAGTGACAGTAACTGTTCCCAGCAATGTGCAGCCTGGCAGAGAGGATTATGTGGGGATTTTTGAAGTTTTGAATGAGTTAGAGACAGGACTTCTGAGCTTTTTAGATGATGTGGTTGATTTTTCTTATCTTCTACATGGGCAGGAAGGGTGAGTTAGGCCCACATCGTTACCATGGTTCAGAAGGCCATAAGACCTTTAGTTACAAGACTTTTTAAGGCATTATTGACTAATAAAACACTGTTAATAAGGATATTTATGGTTTTGACCCAATCCTTAAATATTTTCTTTTATGGACCCATGCTACAGTGTAAGTTTTCCTAGCTAATCATTTTATGACTCACAAACTCACAGTACTGCATTCTAATTTCTTCATTTACCTTTGTAGCTACTTTAATTTTTTCTATATCTTAAACTCTAACACTCTCAACTTTATTTTACTTAGCTTACCATGTCTTTTTATAAATCTACATTCTTGCTTCTAGCACTTAAGTTTGGAAGCTATTTCAAAACTCTCAGATCAAGTCTTGTGTTTAATTCTAAGCTTTGGCTTACAGGCCCAAAGTTCTGAGAATTCTTTGTATTTCAGATTCCAACAGGATTAAAAAGGGTTATTTCTGTTTTTTACTGAGGGACAGACTGTGCTATTTGTTTTTTGCTGTTCATTTTCTTTCGTGGTTGCAGTAAATTCCTGGTCAATTATAAGGACTGGGAATCCTGCAGGGACTTCTTGGAAGGCTCAGCTCCACAGAGGAGGAGATGCTCTGTGCCTCTCTGTCACGGGGCTGCTTTAGGGTATGCAAAACCCCACCCAAATTATTTTTAAACGTGGATTTTTGTGTAGCCCTTTCACCCAGTAAATGGAATGAAAATATCAATGTGGACATAAAGGCCATTGAAATGTCAAGGGATGAAATTCTAATTTTCTGAGTGGATGAACTATTTGGTCTTTAAGAAAAGTAACAGGGGATGAATAGGTCTGATAATTGGGAAAATGAGCCTAACTGGTTTATGGTACCCATTGGAGCTCCCTTCTCCTGTTTCAGAAAAAAAAAAATCCATTTTACTCTAAAAAAATTACAGTCAACAGCATTGAATTTGCAAGATCCAGTGTGCAGGAAGTGCAAGATTAGTGTTGTGTTGAACTAGAAAATAAATATCGTGATGCAGCACTTAATCAAGAGCTTCATTTCACTGAGGATATTTCTTCCATTAGTTTTTTTAGGGGTTATTTGAACTACTTAGATTTTTAATATCCAGAGCAGGATCAGGATATCCCCTCCATAGGTTCATTCCCAGGTTAGTGCAGCTGCAAAAGACTTCAGTAGATTGAAAACCCCACGCTGGCAAATCTTAGAACAGCTTTGAACATGCTCAGATCTCAGAATCAGAGCAAACTGATTTAACTGAACCCCATGGGGAGCAGGACATTTGAGGTGGGAATAATCTGGGGGAGTAACCAACAGGATGCCTGGCCTTTGGATGGACTGGTCTCTAATTATTACTACTACTGCTGCTATTATTATTATATAATAATATTTATTTATTTATTTATTTATTTATTTATTAATAATAATAAAAATACTATATAATGATATTCTATAATAATAAATACTTATTTATTATAATACATACTTTAATTATATATGCATTATATGTAATTTAAAATATATCTTACATAATATATTATATATTTAATATATATTTATTTAAAGATATATTTCATATATATTTAATATGTTTTAATATATTTTAATGAAATATATAAATGTATATGTTTACATATTATTATATTATATATTATTATATTATATATTTTTATTATATATACACTATATAGAATCTAAAATATTTATTACATAATATAAATTATATATAGTATAATAGATAGTATATATACTATGCACAATATACTATAGATAATATCTATATTTTTTAATTATATATAATATAAATGCATAATGTAATAAACGAAGAATCAATAATAATAATAATAATAATAATAATAATAATAATAATAATAATAATAATCATAATCATAATCATAATCATAATCATAATCATAATCATAATCTTTTTTTTTTCTTTTCTTTTTTTTTTTTTTTTTTCCCCTGCCTCATTACACTCCCTTTTGCTAACAAAGGTTAATATTTGCATGTGCTGGAGATAATTGCTCCCAGCTGTTTCTGTTTGATAAAAACAAACAAGTCCTGCAGATGAAGCACTAATGCCTTTTTTATGACCACAGCTCATCTTCTGCAAGTCCCAGTGCTCCTTTCTCTGCATGGGCTCTGCTCTCCAGGAAGTTTGAGACCCACTGCGCAGGAGATGTGGGCACCCCAACCTGTGTTTCCTAATAAATGCAGTGAATTTCTTTTAAAATTGTCATGTCTTGTGCCAGTTGCAGATGTGTAAGTGTTAAATATCTATTACAGAGGAAAAAAAAAAATTTAAAACTAAAAGCCAGGGAAATATTTACTGAGGAAAGAACTAAAGCATTTACCAGCCCCAAAAAACAAATCATTCCCCTTGTCAGCTGTGTTTTGCTGTTTGTAAAAGTCAATTACATGGATTTCCTGGTTCTTTGTTTTCTGAGCTGTAAATGCCCTCTTCAGTGCACATCCCTGAGAGAAGCCCAAGCCTAAAATCTGTAGGAAATGCATCCAAAACAGGATCATCAACAGTGAATTCTGCAGGGAAATGGGAGCAACAGGGCAAGGGGCTGGAAGTGGGAAGAGCTCAGTTCATGAAGAGCAGCCTCCAACTAAAAAAAAAAATAAATAAATAAGAACCAAAAAAAGGTAGTAAAGAACTAAAAAAACAAACAAACAAAAAAAAAGGTATTAAATATCCTGACAGCCAGGGACAGTCAGAGAGGATAAGGAAAGGTTTTTAGTAGCAAGGGCAGTGTGAAAGATCTGTTGTGAGTGGAAGTCGAGTCTGCTTTGCTGCAGACACAACGTAATCTCTTCCTCAAGGCTGGGAGGTGGGGACAGTCAAAAAGTGTGTCCTGCAGAGCTAGAAATGAATTCATTTCTTGGGATTTTTCTTTGGTTCTGGGGTTTTTTAATACATACGTGTCACTTTTTCCAAATGGCATTAGAAATGCTAATGCACAAAGAAAAGATTTCTCAGTGTAGATGGATGTAGGACTGTTTTTTAATCCCCCTGCTGGCCTGGTAAACACAAGGAGGGGAAAAAGGCTATTTCTGCTATTTATTCATCTTCTCAGAAAGCCTTTCCACATCCTGGCTGTATGGTAAAGCTATTAGTGCTACCACACTGTATCTCCTGGGCTTACATGTGGTTATATTGCACATCTTATGCCATTTGCAAATAGAGTTTTTTTTTCCCTTCCCTTTATTTTATTTATCACATTTTTTTTATTTTTCTGATGGACTTGAAGCTAGCTTCTCATCTGGATGCATCTTTGAGGAATTATTTGCGGGTAGTTTTGGTTTTTTTGTTTTTTTCTGGATTTACATTGTCTATACCCTTCCTAACTCTGCTGTCTAGCCTACATTTCTCCATGCTTAAAAGTTGTTGCTACATCAAACCACATTTGTCTGTACCTCCAAAAAAGCAGTTTAATAATTGCTGAAGAAATATTTTCGATGGCTGAAAACATTGGTGCTTTTTCACCTATTTTTTTCCTTTTTCCTGCAGATGTGGCAATCCTGGGAATGGACATCGAGGTGCAAACTGTAGAGGACAATGTCATCAGCCTGGAGATGCTGTTTAAAACGTGGCTCCATGACCATGGCACAGAGAGGGAACAGCTCCATCTCCTCCTTCCCTCAGGAAGTTTTGGCCACGCTGCTGCACCCAAGAACACCATAAGTATTTAATTTTCTTCCCCTTTGCTCCCCTTCAAGGAGCTCCTGAATCCCTCAGCCTTAAAGGTTACCCAGGATTGTCCTATGGGCACCTTCCCTCCTATTTTGAGACCCAGGGGAGGTCTGTGGATAAGCTGCAAAATCATCAGGTTTACAAAACTGCTCTTTGCTGCCACAGCTGCTGAGGCTGCAATCATTTCCATTCTGCAGCAAAAATGTGCCTGGAGGGGCATGTGAATTTACAGCCACGTGGTCAAGGTAAAAAGGAGCCTGGAGAATTGAACAGCCCTAAAAATTGTGTTCAAAACAGAGTCTGTGCCAGAGCTGCACTTAAATAAAGGCTGTCTTACAGAGCTGCACTTAAATAAAGGCTGTCTTGCAGAGGGACTTGGGGACAGGTTGATGCCTTGCATCAGGCTTTAATATTTTCTTTCCTTCAATAGTTGCTAGAAAACATTAATTTTTAAGTGTTTTGAGCATGTCATGTTCTAAACATTGCAAATCCCAGCGACCTAAACCATTCTCCTTCTCCCAGTGTGCCTGAAGTGTGATTTGCAGGAGAGGCTGCTGGACCCAGCCCTGCTTTTGGGGACAGCTGATGGCACTGGGAGAGCAGCAGATGCCAGTTCTCCCTGGCACATGGCAGCCTGGCCATCCACAGCTCTGCACAAACTCCGGGTGCTGAAGTGAGTGGTGCTCCTTGTCTTCCACTGGGTGACTGGGGGAGGGTGTAAGAAAAGCTTCATTTTCCTGTGCAACATCACCCTGGGGCCTGCTGACATCACCAGGAGGCTCTGGGGTGCTGATGAGCCAAATTCTGGTGTGAAAAACCCCCAGTTCCATCACTCTTCCTCTCATGGAACAACACAGCCCACGTGCAGACCACAGTCACTCCTGGTGTCACCACAGCACTCAGTGAGGGTGACACCACAGATGCCATTCCTGCAAAAGTTCTTTTGCCCCAGTGAAATGTTTTATTGCAATAACTCTGCTCTCTCATTACCTAATGAGGCCACAGCAATTAATTGGATGTCAGAGCCTAAGCAAAGCCTCACAGTGCTGTGAATTCAGCTAAGAATTCATTTCCTGGCCGCAGTTCATGGCACAGGGCAGAGCACAGAGATGCTCTCCAGTGTCTTTTCTGAGACTTCTTTAGAGGAAAAAACAGAATAATTTCTAAGTTGTGCAGTTTCTTTTACAATTATGAGCACTAACATGAGCTGTATCTTGGCAGGGCTCTGAAGTCTGAAGGGGTCTGTGAGTCTGTACTCTATGGACCACCCTTCATCATCAAGCCCACAAGCTGCTGGCAGCTGGACTGGGATGAACTGGAGACAAACCAGCACAGCTTCCATGCTTTGTGTCACAGTCTCCTGGTGAGTGTGGGAAACCTGCAGTGTGATGGGGAGGGATGGCCAGGGAAAGGAACAGTGAGTGCTCACCTTGTAACATCTGTCTGGCTGCACCAGCAAACATTTTAAAAGCTGCAGCCTCATCTCATGGGCCAGAGTTGGGCTTGTAGATCCTTCCATCAGCTGGAAAGATGCTACAGCTCATCAGACCTTATGGAAGACCCTCAAACCTACCAGAAATGAGTGTTTGGAGGTGTGAAGCACAAATGTCAGGGTTGGAGTTAGACTTGAGACTTTAACAGCAAAAATAATCAACCAAGGCTTGGACTGTGGAGAACTGGCTGTTACTGACAAGCTGCAAACCAAAACTGGGTGTTTTTTTAAGCACTGACTTGCTAAAAAACAAACCAAATGCCATACTGTCCTCAACCCTGCTGCAGAATAGTTTCCCTTCCGTGATGTGTGAGTGGGCCTGCCCTGAGCCCTCGGTGCAGCGCTGAAGGAAGTGGCTGTTGCTGTTGTTCACACCTGGATTTTGCCCTTTAGAAAAGGAAGTGGATGCTCTTGGCCAGGCACGAGCCCCAGAACATTGGACCAAACTGGAACGTGGTGGTGTATCCCTATTATGTCATCGTCCCCTCTGACTCTGCCAGTCTCCTGGTGAAAGCAGTGGCCATCAGAGAGCTCCTGCTGCCTTCAGCCTTCCCAGCCCTCTTGGCTGAGCACCCTGAGCGAGTCAGGGGCCCCATCGAGGTGAGTCACTCGTTATCAGCTCTGTTATCACCTCAGCAGATAACGAGAGAAGGAAATGGCTGTGACAATGTCTAGTGACAATGTTTAGTGATAGCTGGAGTGTGATGTTGCACTCCAGCACCCCTTCCCAGCAAACAGTTTTCTCCACGGACATGTACCTGTCCTTTGGAGCCATGTTGTGTGTCTGTTGGGGAGAAGAGACCTTGTGAAGCAGAGTTGAGGGTGACAGTGCCCAAAAAAAGCAGTTCCAGCTTGTTGGCTGATTCTGGGCACAGGAAAGGGTAGCACTGCATCCTGCATGGGAATGTTTAAATCCATTAAGATCTGTTTGGAGATGCCTCTTGCTCTATACAGTTAAGAGTGCTCCTTATGGTTTGCAGCACAGCCAAAAATCCCTTTACTTTTCACTGCAGGGTGGGTGGTTTGGAGTGTCTACAACACTGTCCCCGAAAAAGAAACCAAAAAAACCACAAACATGCAAACCCCACAACCTCCACCTGTCACATCCTGTAGCAAACTCAAGTTCTTTCTTCCAAGCAGAGCGCCCTGAACAACTTGGAAGTGGAAGTTGCTTACAACCCCTTGCACCTGAAGAGCAACCTCTACAAATACCTGAAGAGTTCCTTGTACAAACCTCCACACCGGCAGCAGCCCCAGCCCCGGGAGCAGCGCCCGGAGCGGCACCAGCCCAGGCAGGTGAGTCCCTGTGTGTGTGAGCAGCCTGCCTGGGGTCTGATGTCCCCTCCTGGCCAGATTCCAGCAGATTGTGCCCTCCTGGCCAGATTCCAGCAGATTGTGCAGGCAGCTCCCTGTGCTTAGCAAGGTGAAGCACAGCCAGCACCTCTCCCCCCACACGGATTTGTGTTTTGTCCCTGTCTTGCAGCCTCAGAGCAGAGCCAAAGCTGCAGTGGCTCCCCTGCTGATGGCTCCCTCTCCCCTCCAAACCAGACCAGCAGCAGCAGCCAGGAGAGGCTCCTGTGAGGGCTCCCTGCTCCCCAAGGAGTACGAGGAGTTCTTGCAGTGAGCAGCAGGACCTGGCCCTGGGCAGCCACAGGTCCTGGCTCAGCAGCTGGCCGGACGTGGTCAGGCAAGACACTGAGCTTGGCCTTGGTGAGACAGGCACTTCCCATCGTTTGTTCCTCCTGGTTGTTGTTTCACGGTTGTGTTCGTCACCGAGCCGGTTCTGCAGGAAGTTTGCTGCTCAGGGACCCTCTGTCCAGAGATCCAGCAGTCCCCTGCAGCAGCAGCAGCACCACATATTTCCTGTTCTTGCCAGCACACGTCACCAGCCTGCCTCAAATTTGGGTTTCTGAGACTGGGCTAGCACAGGCCACAAATCACAGATTGCTGCCAGTGGGAGCTGAAGAGCTGCAGGCAGAGCAGGGAGAAAAATCAGACAAGGCAGGCAGTCGTGCTGAGCTGCCCTCATCCCACAGCAGCAGGTTCAGTGGGGTGGCTGAGTAGGAATGAAACAGGGCTCTTGGATTTAATCTTAAAGCCTGGAGTTCTGCTCTCCAGATGATTTGGTTGCTTCCAAGATTGGCCCTGCTGTCCAACGCCCCAGCTCATGAAGGGGGTTGTAGCAAATGCCAAGCCAGAGCAATTCCAGAGGATTCCTGCCCAGATGCCAGCCTGTTTTTCAGTGCAGGTGTAGGGTAGGTGTGAGCCAAGGGCAGCTTGACCAAGCCAAAGTGGGGTGGTGTCACTGAGCCCCTGATGCCAAGCACCAGCAGAGTTTGTGTTCTACTTACGTGATTCTAAAAAGCTGTTCCAAAATAAAGTTATCCTCCACGGAGTTCACTCTCTGCTTGTGGTTTCTCACATGTCCAGCACTGCTATCCCACACTGACCTGTGCTTCCTGGGAAACAGCTGCAGGTGAGCAAGGGCATGAGACAAGCACCACAAGCCCATCAGAGCCATCTCTTCTCCCTGGGATCAGACAGGCCCAAAGGCAAGGGCTGGCTCTTCCCATGCCCTGGCACCTCATCAGGCACCTGCAGGTACCATGGAAGACAGGGCAGGCACCCCTGCAGGCACAGGGATCGTTGGGTGCAGGAATGAACACACAAACGGCCCAGCCTGGGGCCTGTAAACCAGTCAACAACATCAAATGAAAAAATCAGGTTTAGGGAGGAGGCAGCAGGGAGGCAACAAAGTTTTTGGAACCACCTCGGCCTCCCTCAGATTTCCCAAAACCCATTAGACTTTTCCCCTTCTCCTGCAGCAAAACCCCAGTGGAGAAGAAGACCCAGCACAGGGGAACAGCCACAAATTTGTCCTGGCCACAGCTGAGCTGTATTTTTACAGGACTGAAGCTTCCCCCTGTAACCTGGGCACTGATAAATACCCAGAGTTCATCACCTTATCACCATCTCACCAGCCTGGGGACCTGAACCTCCAGACTTCCCCCAGTTTGGCTGAGCTGGGGCTGCAGAAGTTGTGCTTAGCTCTCTGCACAGGTTCAGCACAGTGCTGCCTGTCACCTGCCTGTTCTGTCAGTACCAACAGGCTGCCAAACCTGCAGAAGTCACCAGCAGCCCCATCCAGACGTGGGGACAGCCAATGCCAGCATGCCTGGTGTGGTCCCACACAGAAAGGACAACCGGTTTTTCCCCTGGGTAGGCTTCTGCCCAAGGCTGCCCACACAGCAATCACACAAACCCACACAGCAAGCATCACAGATTTTGCTATTAAAGTCAGTGGGATCCAGACTGGGCCCCTCCAGGCCTTCCAAAGCAGCTGGGAGCTACAGGGAATTCAGCAGTGGGATCAAGATGGAGAAGGAGAGATCCTGTGACTCACCAACAGCCACTGAGCTGCAGCAGAGCTGGCACCCGTCCCTGCCCAGCCTCATGCCTGGAGGCCATCACATATCTGAGCCTGACTCTCATTTCCCTTAATGCCCTGGCATCAGGGCATCCAGCCACAGCTCAACCTGGCAGGCACCTTTCTTTGAGGCTCATTTTTAGCTCAGTAGCTCTGGCACAGACACAAAGGTGCACCTGCACCTCCCCATCCATGCCACAGGCAAACATGTCATTCTGAGACATACAGACTTTAATATTAAAATAACTTTGTATAAAAATACTTTTTGGAGACTGATAGCAAGCAGCCTTCCACACACCACAAAAGGCACCAGAGCCCTGCAGCCTGGTCAGACAGGAAGCCAGAGCAGAGCCAGAGCAGCAGGTACAGGAAAATACCAGCCTTCCTGCAGATCAGAAGGCACAGTGGAGCCAGCTCCAGAGCTGGAGAAACACATGGGGGCTTGCACCAGCCACAGCTCCCTCGCTGTTTCCCTCCAGAGAAACACAGCCCCTCAGCACTGGTGAGAAAAGGGGCTTTGCCCGAGCCCAGACAGCCCCAAGTCATCCTGGGGAGGAGAAGCCCAGCTGGCACCGGGATGCCCAGTCCCTGTTGGGATACAGACAGAGCAGCAGCAGCTTATATCTCCCCTAAGTCCTCATAGAGAGGCGACAAGCTGTACTCATCCACACACTGCTCCTTCTTCTGCAGCTGCTGGGGCTTCACCACCTGGCTGTACAGCACCTCCACGTTATTGTTGTTGCTGCTGTTGAGGCTGGGTTTGGTGAGCACCTTCTCAAGGGCAGCGCCGCCCCATCGCCTGCCAGGATCCTCCACCCGTTCTGCCCCTTTGGGGATAAAGACCGCCTGGGGCTTGGGGGCTGGCACTGGCTTGGGGCTCTTGGCCTTGGCCGGGAAGGTCGGTACCGAGTAATCGTCAGTGCTGGGGTTGTAGGGGTACTCATAGCCCCCCTTGCCATCGTGGCCCTGCGTGCGCCAGGCCTCGCTCGTGGGCCGCGCCTCGTCGTAGATGTAGGTGAAGGGATGCAGTGAGCGGGGAGCGCGGCCCTCGGGCTCGTCGTAGATGTGCTCCTTGCGCCCAGGGGCAGCCTGGCCACGAGCCTCAGCCCGGTTCTGCCCCTCAGCCCGGCTCTGCCCCTCGGGCCGGCTCTGCCCCTCAGCCCGGACCTGCTCGTACGCGCCCGAGTACGGCGGCACCGGCAGCCGCGGCTTCGGCTCCTCCTTGGCCGCGCTCATGGCCTTGCTGTCCACAGGGTCCGAGTACAGCGGGTCCGGCCACGGCTGCAGGCCCTTCACCGAGTCCAGGGGCTCCGAGTACACGCTGGATGGGTCCTCGGCCGGCGGCACAGCACGGAGCGCCTTGGGCAGAGGGGAGCGTGGAGGGGTGCTGGACACCGTGGGCTTGGCCGGGGGCACGGGCAGCTCTGGCAGAGTCCGGCCCTTCAGCAGAGATGTGGCATCTCTCTCCTCTGCTGCTGCTGCACCGGCCCTGGGTGCCAGCCCTGCTTTGGGTGCCAGGGTGTCATCCCCCTCAGCGGGCAGCTCCAGGTTCAGGTTGTCAGCCAGGGCCTGGCGGATCTGCAGCACGCCGGGGCTGTCGGCTTCCAGCGAGTCGCAGCTCTGCCGGTTCTCCTCCACCTGAGCCTTCTGCTCCTGGATGGAAGCTTCCACCAGGCGGAAGATCTCGTTGCCCTGCTTGGTCTCGAAGGTGAAGTTTCCAGGTCCTGAGTCACAGCGCCTGCCAGCCTCAAAGGAGAACATCACCTGAAGGGGAAGCAGAAGGGTCACGTCCCACTCAGCACCTGCTCACCCAGCGCGTTGTGCAGGCTGTGCTTCCCACCAAAAGCTGTGTGGCTGCAGCACTGATCCTGCACATCCTGCAGGAGAGACTGCCCTGAAATCCTGCTCCTTCCACTGCCACAGCAAGGGCCACCCTGTGCCCAGCTTCTGGGTAGGGAAAGGCCACATGACAAGCTGTAGAACTGGAGCACACCTGAGGGGACATCACTGCAAGAGCCCCAGGGAGCTGCAGCTCCTGCTGGAGCCCTGCTGCCTTACGTGAGTCATTCCAGCAGTTTCTACCACTGGCACCAGACAGTCTAGGAAATAACACTGAGGAAGGAGTAGGGTGAGAAGGTGAGTGACAGTTCAGCAGGGGAAGCTAGTATGGAATCTTAGGTAAGAAGGGAGTGATGTGGAAGCAAGAGATACAAGAGGAAGAACACAGCTTCCAACAGGAGAAAGCTCAGCAGCAGCAGTTCAGTTACCAAGAGTAAGCAAAGCATTGACCTACCAGCATTAATCAGTTCATGGTGAAAGGTCCCCTAAAGAGAAGTCGTGCACCAGGGCTGTGCTTCCTCTGGCCTGAACACACTCTGGTGAGCAGGTTCCCACCAGCTGACACCCACACCCTTCCTGAGCCTCATTCCCTTAACCAGGGGAGATTTTCTGCCTCTCTTACAGGCAGCAGCAGCCCCTGCGGTTGCTACAAAGGTCTCTGGGGAGAAACTTCTTTTTGTGGGTCGGTGCTGCTGAACAGAAGCACAGTCAGCCCCTCTCTGCTCAGGTCCTTGTGGGTGCAGCTCCCCACACCCTACAACTCTCCTCCTGCCCCCAGCACAGACTCTGCAGATGAGCTGGACACCCCCACGAGGGCAGCTCAGTTTCCACCTATGCTTTGGACATATGCAGAAAGCACCATAAGCAGAGTGTGGCCAACGTGGTCCCTGCTATAAACAGCCCCAGGATCACCACCTCCTCCCTGTCCAGCAAGGTCCATACCCCTTGCACTCAGGGTAGCAGCAAGGCAGACTGGGGAATCACTGCACAAAGACTCTGAAGAGGGGCAGATCTTCAAAGGTCAGTGAGAATAGAAGCAGTCCTCTCCATAGAGCAACTGGTGTCTCAAAGGCCCTCTGCTCTGGCCACCATCCTTAGGAGGGAGGCACTGAACCTGGGGCAGAGACAGGACTGCCAGGGCCAAGGTTCCTGGAGCCTGGGGAGAGCGTGTGTGCAGCACTGAGGAATGTCCTGCTCATAGCACAAGCTGGGAAGTGCTGGGATGGAGAAGGAGATCAACAGAGACCTCAGTGAAAGTGGGACAACCACAGAGGGGACGAGTGTCCCACCAGCCCACGCTCCAGCGTGGTGACACAGGCAGGAACTGAGGACAATCAAGGTCACCAGGGGCTGCAGCAATCCTGGCATTCGGCAGGGCTGGCTGCAGGACATCAGCTCAACCTTCCACAAGGGAACATCTACAGGGGAGCACCTGCAGCACACCATTCCCCACCTTGTCCCGGCCGTATCTCCGGAGCAGCCGGTAGGGCCAGACGTAGAGGATCTTGTCCGTCCGTGGGTCCTTCAGGACGAGGCTGTCACGCTCAGCCTTGAGCACGTAGGTGCCACGCAGCTCACAGCGCTCCGCGGCCTCGGTCCGCTGCACCGTCACCCAGAAGGTGTTCACTGTGGGGACAGGGCTGCTCAGGGGACAGCCAGCCCCACTGCAGGGCTGCTCAGGGGACAGCCAGCCCCACTGCGGGGCTGCTCAGGGGACACCCAGTCCCACTGCAGGGCTGCTCAGGGGACAGCCAGCCCCACTGCGGGGCTGCTCAGGGGACAGCCAGCCCCACTGCAGGGCTGCTCAGGGGACAGCCAGCCCCACTGTAGGGCTGCTCAGGGGACAGCCAGCCCCATTGTGGAGCTGCTCAGGGGACAGCCAGCCCCACTGCGGGGACAGGGCTGCTCAGGGGACAGCCAGCCCCACTGCGGGGCTGCTCAGGGGACAGCCAGCCCCACTGCGGGGCTGCTCAGGGGACAGCCAGCCCCACTGCGGGGCTGCTCAGGGGACAGCCAGCCCCACTGCTGGGGCATTGCCCAGCGTGGCCCCACGTCAGGGCAGCAGCAGGTCCCACCTTCATCTCTGGAGTAGTAGATGGAGTTCACGGCCATCTCCAGGGCCGGTGACTCCCCGCTGCCCTCTCGGCCATACTGTGCCACCACGCCATCGCTGGGGCCATTTCCCTGGCAAAGGAGAGCAGATCAGACCCAGAGTTCTCTCCCCACATCAGCCCCCAGCCCCCCTTGCATGGCCTGGGTCCCCACACAGCCTGGCTGTCCTGCACCCTGCCCACAGAATCCCCTGAGCCCCCATGAACACGGACAGGCAGCACAGGGAGGACTTCCCTGAGCTCCTGGCAGCACCCTGTCCCCAGCTGGGCTTTGCGCCCACAGAGCTGCCCCCCAAAGCATGGCACACCCCAAACACACCCTCCTGGCCATACCATCCCAAGCACTGATGGCCTGGTGACACGGGGGTCCGTGTCCTGCCCAGGAGGAGGGGGAGCCTGCAGAGGGGAAGCGAGCGCTTCTATTTTAGCACAAGCAGAACTGAAAATGCAACACACACACTGTCAGCGACTGTGTCCCAGCAGCAGGGCCCCCAAAGGGCCTGGGGCAGGACACAAACCCTTGGTGCTTTCAGAGATCCTCCTGCAGAAAAGCCCCTCACAAATGACAGCCCTGTGCAGCTGGCACAAGGGAGGCTCAGCGTGCAGAGCTGTTCCTTGGGGTTGCAGCAGAGGGTACATCTTGCAGAAGGCAAGTGCTACAGTTTCAGTTTAAAACTCACACACATGAGCTTCTTAACAAGAAGCCCAAACAAGGCCCAAAAAAAGGGCCATCAAGTTCTTCTGTTTGGGTCCTAAAACTTCATGTCCTGAGAGCTGATAGCAGCAGCTCCTCCTCAGTTAAAGCAGGGCAGGACTCCAGCCTGGGACTGGAAAGCCAAGGGCCACCAAATCTGCCACAGCCTCGAAGTCTCCATTCGACTGCACTTCTCCTCATCTTCAAAAGGAAATTAAAAAATCTGTTCTGAACTCCAAATGATCTCTGGCTCCAGCCCCCAAGCTGCTGGACCCTGCATACCCTCTGGGCAGGAACATGACACAAAATCACATTCTCCATGCAGATGATCAGCAATCCCAGCTGAGGACCTCCAGCTCTGTGCAGAGAGGCCACGTGCAGCTCTTGTGCCTCCTGCTCCAGGTCAGGCCTTTTTAAAACACATGCCAGCCTTGTAGCTCACAACCTCCTAAACTTTCAGCTTGCTTCTGGACCTCAGGCACACAAATCATGGCTCCCGTGTGGGGATGGGAGCTCCAAGCAGGTGCTCCCTGGCCTGGCCACCACCCTGCCCCACTCCAAGAGTGTGTTGTGCCCCCAGCTCAGCCCCACAAGCCACTTTCAAGGCAAAAGCTGCAACCCTGACTGCACCAGGCGGCACAGAGACATTTCCACCAGTGCCTCCCAGCCCTGCCATTTGTTGTACAGACACACCTGGCTGGGCAGGAGACTGCAGGGAAACGTTCAAGGGACAAAGGTAAATCACACTCAGGGGAGATCCTGGGATCACCAGCTGTGCACCCAGTCCTCCTGCCAGGCAGCCCTGCCCAGCACTCCAAGCCTGGAATCAGCTGGAGCCAAACCCAGACCTCTGTAAACACCTCCCAGGAGGGAGAGGCAGCGCTGTGGAGCTGGGCAGGCGTGGGCTGTGTCCCAGAGGGCACAGAAAACCACACTGCCAGGGTGTTTTGTTTTGCCAGGGTTCGTGGTCTGATCTTTCCTCTGTCTTATGCACTTTGTTATTGGTATTGCTGTGGTTACATCTCATTGCTGTTTCTAGCACACTGCCTGCCCAGCAGCTCCAGGGGCTGGGCAGCTCTTCCAGAAGCCCAGCACAGATGGGGTGCCCACAGCAGCAGCCAGGAGTGAGCCCCAAGGCTGGGAAAAGGAGTTCCAGCTCCTGGAACCAGATGGGTCCTGCAACGCTCTCGAGGCTCCGCTTCCGCCACCGCTGCTGTGGCAGGAAAGGCAGCAATGGTTGGGCCAAGAGGAAACGCTGCTTGGCCATCAGCTGGCCTCCTGCCAGCCCTCTACACCGGGCAAGAAATTTGGAGCCACAACCTCCAATTATTGACAGCACGCCGAGAAGTCCCACAAACCACAGCAGGAGCCATCGAGAGGGCACCGAGCGTCAGGCCCGGGCACTGAGAGCACAGGCGCTGCCTCAGGGTGTCCTTCCCTGAGCTGCCCAGGCGGGAAGGTGTCACCCCCACACACCCATGTCCCCGTCCCCTCCACCTCCGGCTCCCTACACGCCCAACCAGCCCGGGGCTCACCGGGAAGGCGATCTGGCACAGCTTCGCCACCCACTCCTCGCTCTGCTGCTTCTCGGCCGCGAAGAGGAAGCTGCGGTCGCGGGTCTCCAGGCGGAAGGCGGCGGTGCCGGCGCGGGGGCCGCCCTCGCCCACCGGGGCCACGCTGGTGCAGTCGCTGAGGCGCACCACGGTCCGGGCGAGCCGCCGGGTCCCTGCTCGCCCGGCCGAGGGCTCCTTGCAGTCGAACAGCTCCAGGCGAGCCACGCCGTGCTGGCTGGCGGGGTAAAGCGCGGACCAGCCGCGCTTCCAGCGCTGCGGGCAGCGGGGTCACACCGAGCCCGGGCCGCTCCCCGCCCGGGCCCGAGGGCGGGGAGGAAGGGAAGGAAGAGGGAGAGGGAGGAAGGGATTGCAGGACCCACCTTGGTGCCGAACTTGTGGCTGTGCTGCACCAGCAGCGGCCCCTCCATGGCCGGCGGCTCCATCCCCGAGCGCTTCCGCCCGCGCCGCTGGGGCGGGGACCGGGGCGGGGACCGGGCGGGGACCGGGCGGGGACCGGGCGGGGACCGGGCGGGGACCGGGCGGGGACCGGGCGGGGACCGGGCGGGGACCGGGCGGGGACGAGCGTGTCAGGGCCGGGGTGTGCTCGCGCGTGTGTATGTGAATATGTTTATGAATATGTGTGTGAATATGTGTGTGTACACCCGGGAGGGTGCGTGAGCTTGTGCACGCACGTGTGGCACATGCATATGCTCTCCATGGGATCGGGAAGACGCGCTCGGATGGGCTGAGGGTAAGCGAGGGCAATGTGGGGAGTGGGCAGGGGAGAGGTGAGGTTTCACAGCACAGGGAAAAGGAGTGATGGCTTTGACAGGAGAGAAAATGAAGGAAAATGAACTATGTGCTTACCTCAAGCACATAGTTCAAGAAAATCATGGAATGGGCAGGTGCTCGCAGAGAGAGTAGAGAAGGCAAAGAATCACAGTAAACACCCGTGTATGCACAGCCGTGCACGATTTCATTCTCTGACTGTCTTTGTGGATAGGGTAATGCTATCCATATCTCCCTGCCTCCAACCATGCCATGTGCCTGGGCACCGAGGCCACTCCAGGGCCACCAAGCTGTTCCCAGCACTGTCCCTGCCATTGCTGGCCACTCCTGCAGGGCCAGGCTTGAGTCCAGCATCCCCAGCTGCAGGTGGGACAGGTGCTGGCTGCGAGGCAAGGAACAAGGACAAGCACAGCCTGTGCTCAGCACACCCCAGTGAGGATGAAGCAGCCTGGTGGCACTCTGATGGCACTGTGTCCCTGCCAGGTCACTGCTGGTCAGACACTCTTGGGCTTCTGGCTGCTTTGACTCGGTTTCCTGACACAATATAAACCTGCAAAGGGAAGAGGGAGAAGCCACAGATCTGTTTTTCCAGGCTCTGATCCCCATTTCTCCACCTGTGGTTTTGATGAAATGGCTGCAGGTGGGGAGAGCTGCTGAGGGGAGCTTTGCAGTGCCTGGATGGATGTAGGGGTGACTCTCTGCACTGTCCCGGCTTCACCCCCTCAGATTTGCACGGCAACAAAATTGTGCTGATGTCTTGGTTAGGAATGACATTCCCCAATTAAATGCTCACATTGAAACATCCCAGACCAATTGCTCACAGCCCTACCCTCCCCCGAGGCAGGCTGGAGAGGAGAATTGGAGGCACAAAAAGTAAAGATCACACAGGCTAAGATAAGAAACAGCAACGGGATGTAACCACAGCAATACCAATAACAAAGTGCACAAGACAGACGAAAGATCAAACCGCAAACCCTGGCAAAACAATGACATCAACAAACAGGCCCAGTGGTCTGAAAAAGAACAAGGTAACTCGGTGGTGTCAACACCCCCCCCTTCCCCGCTCCGCCCCGCGCCCCGGCCCCACCCGTGGGGCCGCCCCTTGCGCTGCGGTGGAGCCGCCCCTGCGCGGAGCCCTCCGCGCATCCTTCAGTCCCCCGGCAAACATTCCATCCCTCCGCGCATCCTCCCGTCCCCCCGGCAAACATTCCATCCCTCCGCGCATCCTTTCGTCCCCCGGCAAACATTCCATCCCTCCGCGCATCCTCCGTCCCCCGGAAAACATTCCATCCCTCCGCGCATCCTCCCATCCCCCGGTAAACATTCCATCCCTCCGCGCATCCTTCCGTCCCCCGCTAAAAATTCCATCCCTCCGTGCATCCTCCTGTCCCCCTGCGCAGCTGCCATCCCCTCCCGCAAACACTTCATCCCTCCCCGCGCACCCTCCATCCCCCCGCGCATCTCTCCGCGCACTCCTCCATCCCCCCGCTCCCCCTTCATCCCCCCCGCGCATCTCTCCGCGCACTCCTTCAAGCCCTGCTCCTCCTCCATCCCCCCGCGTATCTCTCCGCGCATCTCTCCGCGCACTCCTCCATCCCCCTGCTCCTCCTTCATCCCCCCCGCGCATCTCTCCGCGCATTTCTCCGCGCACTCCTCCATCCCCTCGCTCCTCCTCCATCCCTCCGCGCATCTCTCCGCGCACTCCTCCATCCCTCCGCTCCCCCTCCATCCCTCCGCGCACTCCTCCATCCCCCCGCGCATCTCTCCGCGCATCTCTCCGTGCACTCCTTCAACCCCTGCTCCTCCTCCATCCCTCCGCGCACTCCTCCATCCCCTGCTTCCCCTCCATCCCCCCGCGCATCTCTCCGCGCCTTCCCCCGCGCACTCCTCCATCCCTCCGCGCATCACTGCGCGGGGATGGCGGAGCGGCCGCGCTTCCTCTGCGGTGTGGTGGAAGGTGAGTCCCTCCGCGGCCGCGGACTCGCCCGGGCACTGCAGGGGCTGTTCCGATCCACCCGAAGTGAACCGGGCTCGGGAAGGGCCCCCCAGGCTGTGGGAGAGGTGGGAGCGGGGCCCTTGCACAGAACCCATCTCTGCCAGGGGTTTGGACTCCCCGGAGAGCCCTGCAGCCACCTCAGCAGAACCGAAACTCCCAGAGGGGCGCAGGGATCCTCTGCTCGGCCTCCAGAGCTCTACTCTGGAGGGATGGAGGGGAATAAGGGATGGAGAAGGATAAGAGATGGAATGGGACAGGGAATGGAGGGAATAAGGGATGGAGCAGGACAAGGGATGGAGGGGAACAAGGGATGGAGGGGAACAAGGGATGGAGGGGAATAAGGGATGGAGAAGGATAAGAGGTGGAATGGGACAGGGAATGGACAGGGATAAGGGACTGAGGGGGACAAGGAATGGACAAGGGATGGAGGGGGACAAGGGGTGGAGGGGAATAAGGGATGGAGGGAGAAAAAGGATCAAGCAGGGCAAGGGATGAAGGGGGACAGGGGATGAAGTGGCACAAGGGGTGGAAGGAAACAAAGAATGGAGCAGCACAAATGGGACAGGGGATGAAGCAGGACAATGGGTGGAGGGAGAGTGAACTCCTTGTGAACAAGGGGTTCTTGGCTGCCCTGGACTTGGGGCAGCTTCTCGGTGTGTCCCCCCTGCCCGTGGGACAGCGGGGCAGGAGCTGTGCCCAGAGCTGGCCAGGGGGAGCTCTGTGCTTCTCCCTCCCCACATCCCCAACTCCCTCTGGAGCTGAGCACCCACCAGGCAGAATCATCTGCCTGTGAGGGCATCATCCCCCTGTGAAGGGCACTGCCCTCTGCCTCACCTGAGAGGAAGCAGGAGCATGCAAATAAATGTCAAATAAACAGGAAATGCAGGGGTGGAGAAGCTGCCGTGAGTCAGACGTGAATCATTGATATAGTAGAGCTGACCTGGGAAAGAGGGCAGGGATGATGCTGGTAAATCCATTCCAGGAGAACTCTGCTGGCAGGGTGTGTGCAGGACTCGGTGGCCTCCTTGCCAGCCCACGCCAGCTCACGGCAACATGTGCTGTGAAAGTGTCACCTGCAGGGGCCATACAGGGATTCTGGGGACCTCGCTGGGATCTCAAAATAGCAAATTATTTACCACAGAAATAACTTTTTTGGGGTGAAATGTTTGCTGGGATTCTCAAATGGCCACAAATTTGGCCTCATGCACAGTGGGATGTTTGACCATAGCAAGGTGACCATATATTATTTTAAAGTATATATAATAACCATGTAGGTGTTCAGGCAGGTAGAAAATCTGTCTGCAGAGAGAAGACAGATGGAGAGGGGGTGTTGCTGTGGTGCAAGCCCCCTCACCATTGCCCAGGACTGGTGCTGGGGGCTGCAGGGTGGGCTCCTGCCAAAGGGAGCCCAGGGAATGGGGGCAGATGAGCTCTGGGACACTCAGGTGCTTTGGGAAATGCAGGTGACACGAGCTGGTCCTTTCTCCCAGCTTGATGGAGTCAGTGCAGCCTGCCCCTGTACTCCACCCAGTTTTGGGAATGCTGTCATTTCCCAAGTGTCTGTTCCCCTTGGCCCTGACTGCTGGAAATTGCAGTGATTGACTCCAAAGTTGCCCACGATGCAGAGAGAAAGCAGGAAGATACCTTGATGGCCAATTGCCATCATTATCCAAGACAGAATGGATTTTCTGTGAGCCTTCATGTTGCATCTGGCAGATCTTGAAGAGAATTTAAGTGGCTGAAAGTTCTTCTCTTGCTAAATCTCAGGTCTGTGCTGGGACTCTGACAGGTTCCCTTTAACCTCCACTTTGAGGAGCTGCCAAATCTGTATCTCTCCAAACCCATTTATCATCCTGTCCCAGGGGAAGGGGTTTGTGTTCCTCTGGATATCCTTTCTCCCTGGCTTTGCAGACAGCTCTGCACCTCCCAGATCTTCCTACATGCAGAAATAGGAAGTGGTCCCAGCAGCAGAATGGGTGTGAGACTGTTCCCAGACTGTTCCCAGGCACTTCCCAACTGCATTTTGCCTTTTTTTCTGTCCCTTTTGCAGGTTTCTACGGGAGACCATGGTCAATGGATCAGAGGAAACTTCTCTTTCAATGGCAAGTACCCTGAATTTTCCTCTCTGAAGGTGCAGGTGGCAGTGTCCCCCTGTCCCGGGCCGGACAGACGGATGGAGGGACAGACACGGTGGTGCTGCCACCAGCAGGACACCAGGTGGGAACGGAGGGCACCTCTCCATCCTGAGCAGGGGGTAGCTGCTGTGCCCTCAGGCTGCCATCCCTGCCCGGTGTGGGTGGCCCTGCTGTGTCCCCATGTCCCTGTGGCACAAGGATGTGCTCAGGGTCTGTCACTGGGTGGGAGTTTTCTGTGCAGCTCCTCTCCAAGCGGCTGCTGCCCATGCACGGGGCCGTCAGTGGGATGAGCAGTGCTGACAGGACCTGCCAGGACCTGCCACCAGTGACCTGGGGCTCTGCAGGGCCTCCCGTGGGCAGCACAGTGGTGACAGTGTGGGCAGTGACAAGTGTAATTAAGGACCAGAGTGCAGGGAGCAGAGATACAGGTACAGAATATGGAAGGAGAACAAGCTGTGATGTTTAAAAGTACCTCAGGAATGAGAAGGTCTTGTCTGGTGCTGGACTGGGGTGTGTTCACGTTGTCCATCGGTATTTTTCTTACCTGGAAAGAAACAAAATAAGGGACTTTTATCATGAGCTACATGAAGTGCTTTCTTCTCTGTTCACCATGGGAAAATGTAAAGCATTGTCTGCTGAGGAGGATAAATAAAAGCAAATTAATATATCCGATGGTTCCCATACAGAAGTGCCAAAAGAGGGAAGTGTCTACCCTCGCAGGGGGCACATCCTCACATCCTACTGGTGTCTGACACAAACCTTAGAGCTCAGCACTGGGATTACTGGCTGAGATCTGCCTCCAAGAGCCCATGTGGAGCCTGGCTGACTCCTTGCTCTCCCTGCACAGGCTGCAGCGCCGGGGGCTGAACTGCTACATGTACGCGCCCAAGGACGAGCTGAAGCACCGGCTGCTCTGGAGAGAGCCCTACACAGAGCATGAGGCAGGTAGCGGCTCTGCTGGGCCCCTCGGGGGGCTGCAGGCATCACAGGTCCCTGAGGGCAAAGCACGGGCCATGTCCCAGCTATTTCCACCCTGCCAGGACCTTGCCCACTGCAGGGAGGCCCCCAGACCTTGCCAAGGACTCCCAGACCGTGCCCATCATATGGAATTGCCTAAGGGACCACCTAGCCTCTCATGTGGGTCTCAGGCAATGTGCTTGAGTATACCCAGGCCCACAGACCCTTGTCAAAAGTCCTCTGTGTCCTAAGGGAGTGGAAAAGGTCCTCCTGGAGCCTCTCCCCTGCCAATGACCTCAGCTCCTTCCTTTCACAAGGAGTTCACTCTCCCTCCACCTATTGTCCTGCTTCATCCCCCGTCCCATTTGTGCTGCTCCGTTCTTTGTTTCCTTCCATCCCTTGTGTCACTTCATCCCCTGTCCCCCTTCATCCCTTGCCCTGCTTGATCCTTTTTCTCCCTCCATCCCTTATTCCCCTCCACCCCTTGTCCCCCTCTATCCCTTGTACCCTCCATTCCTTGTCCTATTCCATCCCTTGATCCTGCTCCATCCTTTATCTCCCTCCATCCCTTGACCATTCCTTGTCCCCCTCCATCCCTTATCCCCTTGCATCCCTTATTCCCTCCATTCCCTGTCCCATTCCACCTCTTATCCTTCTCCATCCCATTCCACCTCTTATCCTTCTCCATCCCTTGTTCCCCTCCATCCCTTGTCCTGCTCCATCCCTTGTTCCCTCCATCCCCTGTCCCATTCCACCTCTTATCCTTCTCCATCCCTTATCTCACTCCATCCCTTATCCCCCTCCATCCCTTGTTTTGCTCCATCCCTTGTCCCATCCCATCCCTTGTTCCCCTCCATGCCTTATTCCCTCCATCCCCTGTCACATTCCATCTCTTATCCTTCTCCATCCCTTGTTCCCCTCCATCCCTTATCCCCCTGCATCCCTTATTCCCCTCCACTCATTGTTCCATTCCATCCATCCCCTGTCCCCCTCCATCCCTTATCCTTCTCCATCCCTTATTCCCCTCCATCCCTTGTCCTGCTCCATCCCTTGTCCCCCTCCATCCCTTATTTCCTCCATTCCTTGTCCCGTTCCACCTCTTATCCTTCTCCATCCCTTATTCCCCTCCATCCCTTGTCCCCCTCCATCCCTTGGCCTGCTCCATCCCTTGTCCTGCTCCATCCCTTGTTCCCCTTCATCCCTTGTCCCCCTGCATCCCTTATCCTTCTCCATCCTTTATTCCCCTCCAGCCCTTGTCCCCCTCCATCCCTTATTCCCCTCCACTCATTGTTCCATTCCATCCCTTGTCCTGCTCCATCCTTTATTCCACTCCATCCCTTGGCCTGCTCCATCCCCTGTCCCCATCCATCCCTTGTTCCCCTCCCTCCCTTATCCTGCTCCACTCCTTATCCCTCTCCATCCCTTATCCCCCTACATCCCTTATCCCCCTCCATCCCTTATCCCCCTCCATCCCTCATTCCCCTCCATCCCTCATTCCCCTCCATCCCTCATTCCCCTCCATCCCTCATTCCCCTCCATCCCTCATTCCCCTCCATCCCTTGTCCCACCCCACGGTGCCTCCCAGCTCTCACAGGCCCACTGTGCTCTGTCCCCAGCCCGCATGAAATCCCTCATCGAAGCTGCCCAAGAGCAAAAAGTGGAGTTTATTTTTGCCATTTCTGCTGGCCAGGACATGGTGTTCTCCAGCGCTGGGGATCGGCTCCTGCTGCAGCAAAAACTCAGGCAGGTACCGTGGGCTGTTCCTTTATCCCACTGCTCCCAGGCAAGGGGCACGTGTGATTTTTAGTGTGGTCCCTGTGCCCACCCCGTGGGCCATTCCTTCATCCCACTGCTCCCAGACAAGGGGCACGTGTGATTTTTATGTGTGGTCCCTGTGCCCACCCCGTGGGCTGTTCCTTCATCCCACTGCTCCCAGGCAAGGGGCACGTGTGATTTTTATGTGTGGTCCCTGTGCCCACCCTGTGGGCTGGCATAGGGTGCAAACCCCTCCTGCTGCTGCACAGAGGGACCAGCTCTGGGCTGCCCAGTGGCCAATGTGCTGTCCCTGTGATGGTGACAGAGAGCTGAGGGCTCTCTGGGGCAGGAGAAGGACCAGAACTTGCTGGGCAGCACCCAGGGCTGGCACAGGCTGGAGTTTCCTGGGTCCCCAGTGAGGGTGAAGAGCTGCTGGCATGATGGGGTTGCTCCGTGGGCAGCTGCTACTCCCTTGGCACTGCCCAGGCAGGAACTGCCCCACGCTGTGCCGTGCCCAGATGCCCCTGTCCAGCCCCCTGGGGCTCTCTGCTGCCCAGGGATCCCAGCAGTCCATGTCTGTGCCCACAGGTGGCTGCCATGGGGTGCCGCTCCTTCGCGCTGCTCTTTGACGACATCGACCCCTGCATGTGCCAAGCTGACAGAGATGTCTTCCCCTCCCTGGCACAGGCTCAGGCCTCTGTGGCCAACGAGGTGTACCAGGAGCTGGGCCAGCCCTCAGTCTTCCTCTTCTGCCCTACAGGTATTGCCCACAGCCCTGCAGCCCCAGCTGCCCAAACTGGGGAGCCCCCTCAGAGTGGGGTGCCCTGTCCCCGCTGAGAGCTGAGTGCCCTGGCAGCCCCCACAGCTCTCCCTGGACTCCTCACCCTCCCAGGTGTTATAAATGGAAATTTATTCAGCCAAATTAAAAATAAAAATAATTTTATTAGCGGTCAAATAACATGAAAAAAAGTGCCGAGCGCAGGGATCGACCCTGAGTGTCGATTCCTGCCTCAGCAGAGGTTTTCCTCTGTGCCCACATTCCTCCATCCTGGCACAAGGGGTTTTTATAGGGAAAATTCCACCTGAGGCCAAGATTTCAGCAGTCAGTCTTCCATTCAGAGTCCATAGGTTAATAAGATTTTCTTTTTTGGTGATGAGGAAGAACAATTCAGTGTCAGGAGTTGGTGAATCCCTTGATGAAATTTATGGGAATGCTGCATTCAAATGGATCTCTCCAAGGATTTCCATGAGATCCATCCATCAGTGCCTGGGGGTCCCATCTCCCAGCAGCCACATCCTTTTACTTGTAAATCAGGTTCCAACATACACCAGGTTTCACCTGTGAGGGTTGGGGGCTTCTAAAATGAGCATAATCTAACAAATATCCAATATTACACATTTCATACAAGGAATGGTGCGAATTATCTTCACTACACATAACACAGGGGAGCTCTGACCATCTCAGGGCTAGACTAGGACTAGTCCATGATGGCAGCAGCCCCTCCTCTCCTGGTCCCCAGCTCTCAGGGGATGCTCTGTGCTCTCTCCTCAGAATATTGCAGCTCTCTCTGCTCTCCCAGCCCCAGCCAGTCCTGCTACCTGCAGACCATCGGCCAGGAGCTGCTCCCAGGGATCGGTGTCATCTGGACAGGTGAGCACCAGGGTCAGCTCTGGGTGTGTGTCTGCAAACCCTGTGGTCACAGGCTGTCCTGCTGTGGTGCCTCACACTGGGGTGTGCAGCCCCAGCCAGGCAGGGCTTTGAGCTGGGGGTTTGCTGTCCTGACTGGGGAGCGTGGCTGTGGTGGCTGCAACCTCATCTCCGTGTCCGTGTGTCCCTGCTGTGTGCCTGTCATGGACCCACGTGTGTCCCTGCCCTGATGCCCCAGGCCCCAAGGTGGTGTCCCAGGAGCTCTCAGCAGAGCTGCTGGAGGAGGTGGAGGCTGTCCTGAGGCGCCGCCCCGTCATTTGGGACAACCTCTACGCCAACGACTACGACTGCAGACGTGTCTTCCTGGGCCCCTACATGGGCCGTGCTCCTGGCCTCATGTCCAGGCTCCACGGGCTGCTCCTCAACCCTAACTGTGAGCTCCAGGCCAACTTCATCCCCATACACACGCTGGGCACCTGGTTTCAGAGCGAGCTGGGCAGCTGTGCCCACCCTGACCATGCAGGTACCTGCCCCCCGTGCCCAGGCAGCTCTGTGCCTGCCCAGCCCTGCACGGAGCCAGGGCTGCCCAGGCTGATGAGCTGCAGTTCCTCAGGCATGGAGGGAGCCCTGGGGGACAGCCAAGGTGCTGAGGATGGAAGCTACAGCCCCCAGGAAGCCTTGGAGCTGGCGCTGCGTGAGTGGGTGGCCGAGATAAACCAGCAGGCCTTGGAGCCAGGTAGGCACAAGCAGCAAATCATCATCCATCCATCCCTGGAGTGCTGGAGTGCCCATCTGGAGGGTCTCTGGGGCTGGTGTGGCAGCAGGGCCGTGCATGCCATGCTGGGCAGGTGTGGGTGTCCATCCTGCCGTGGCTGCAGCCTGGAGAAGGTTTCCTTGGCTGGCAGAACCAGAGTTTGGGCCAGCTCTGGAAGGAGAGGTCAGCCAGGGGTGAGTTTGTTGTTTTGCAATGTTTGCCTCTGCAAAGCCACAGCCTCACCAGCCCCAGGGGCCTGAACTTGAGCCCAGGGTCCTGGCAGCTCAGCCCCTGCCAGCTCAGGGATGGAGGTCCCTGGGCAGTAGTTTCCATGCAGGTGCCACAGGAGCTTCCCTCTTGTTCCTTTCTGGCAGGAGGAAGGACCCCAGGACACCCCAGTGTGAGCCTCAAGGGAGGAGCAAAGCTGCAGCCTGGCACAGCGGGAGGACAGGAGGTCACTCCTGACCCTCAGCCCCACAAATCTGCTCCTGGGGCAGCTCCTGAGCCCTGTGGGGTGGCACCAGAGGAGGGGTGCAGGGAGGTGACCTCAGAGCCTGAGAGGGACAGTGGGAACAGGACACCCGCTGGCCATCAGCAGAGCCCTGCAAGGGCTGGGGAGCAGCTCGCCCCAGGGAGCTGTGAGCCCTCCTCTGCTCTGCCCAGTGTGGCTGGGAGTGCCCAGCCTGGAGCAATCCCAGTGGCCACCAAGACCCTCCCCAGCCCAAGCCCCACCACGAGCTCCAGCAATGGGGCCAGCACCACTCAGAACGTTTCCTTGCCCACCAGTGACGCCAGGCCAGGGGATGGCAGCCCTGTCCAGTCTCCCAGCAGCACCCAGCCTGAGGCCATCAGGACTGATGTGCCCCAGACACCCCCAGGACCTGGGGCTGGTGCCAGCCCTGGTGCCCCAGCCCCACTGATGGATGAGGTTGGTGCTCCAGTGACCCCAGAGGAGGCTGGGCCTGGCCCCATGGCACCACTGCCCCCCAAGGAAGCCATAAGCAGCTCCCCAGCACAGGTGACCCCAGAGGAGCCCAGGACCAGCCCCACGGCACCAGTGACCCCAGAGGAAGCTGGGCCTGGCCCTATGACCCCCAAAGATGCTAGGACCAGCCCTACAGCAAAGATGACCCCAGAGGAGCTCAGGACCAGTCCCATGGCACCAGTGACCCCAGAGGAGGCTGAGTCTGGCCCCATGACCCCCAAGGAGGCCAGGCCCAGCCCCACATCACAGGTGACCCCAAAGGAGGCTGAGTCTGGCCCCATGACCCCCAAGGAGGCCAGGACCAGCCCCACATCACAGGTGACCCCAGAGGAGGCTGAGTCTGACCCCATGACCCCCAAGGAGGCCAGGCCCAGCCCCACATCACAGGTGACCCCAAAGGAGGCTGAGTCTGACCCTATGACCCCCAAGGAGGCCAGGACCAGCCCCACATCACAGGTGACCCCAGAGGAGGCTGAGCCTGACCCCAAGGAGGCCAGGACCAGCCCCACATCACAGGTGACCCCAGAAAAAGCCAGGCCCAGCCTCACAGCACCGATGACCCCAGAAGAGGCTGAGTGTGGCCTTATGGCACTGACGACCCCAAAGGAGGCCAGATCCAACCCCACAAGCCCAGAGGAGGCCGTGTCCAGCCCTACAGCACCACTGACCCTGGAGGAGGTGCGGATGCTGGTGGAGCTCTTCTACCTTCCCTACCACCACGGGGCTCTGGCACAGCAGCTCCTGGAGCATTTTCGGTGGCTGCGGGCGAACAGCCTCAGCGTGGGGGTACCGGCCACAGCACCTGATGCCTGTGGGGTAAGACCAGCCCTGGGGTGGCTGCTGTGGGTGTGTGTGTCCCCCGGGTGGCTGACAGAGAGTTGGTGTGTCCCCAGGGCACGCGGTGGCGAGGCCGGGCTCAGTCCTTCCAGCTGCTCTGTGCACGGACGTGCCGCCTGCACAGCCGCCTGGTCAGCACCGCCAGCAGGGCGCTGCTCTACGACCTGCACCCCTACCTCTGGGACATCCGTAACATGCTGCTGGCCGCCAGTGCCTTCGTCCTCTGGCTGGGTACGTGGCTGATGCCAGCCCTGCCAGCCCTGCCAGCCTTGCCAGCCTTGCCAGCTCCTGTCACACCCAGCCAAACCCAGCGGTGTCAGAGCGCCGGGATGCTGCAGCACAGGGGCACAGCTGGTGCTTGTTCTCTTCCCCGAGGAGGTGAAGGTGGCTGGGACCCACCCCAGAGATTTGGGGTTCTGCTGTGCAGCTGGCAGTGCCAGGGTCCCTCCTAGCTCACCTCCCTGTGAGATTTTTTCTGCTGCTCACTGAGCACCTTGCCTCCTTTGCAGATGGTCACCTCCTCTGCGAGCCTGACCCCAAGGGCACCTGGGGGAGCTGCTTTGGCTGTAAGTACGGGCACTGCCCTGGCTCACCCACCTGCCTGGGGAGGTCTGGCTGCTGCCCCACATCACCTCCAGCCCCACAGCAGCAGCCAGCACTCACCATCAGGCTGCCCTTCCTCATATTCATCATCGGGCTGCTCTTCCTCACACTCACCATCATCCTGCCCTTCCTCACACTCCCCATCAGCCTGCCCTTCCTCACGCTCTGCCTGCAGGAATGGCCCTGGGAATGCTGCCAGTCACTGGAGCAGACCTTCACCATACCTCACAGCCATTTCTAGGATATGGTTCCTCAGCCCTTTTATCCCAAAGACCCCTTAGCCTGTGTAGCAAAAGGGTTCTGGGAGCCCTGGGTGAGAGGTGGGGCTGTTTTTTGAATGCCTGTGCATAACTTTGCACAGTTTTCCTCCAGTTTAGGGCTCCCTGGTTGCTCTGTGGGCCTTGTGAGTTCTCACAAACCGAGAAGCATCTTTTTCTTCACTTGACAAGTATCTGTGTCCTGCTGCTTCCAGGGTGCCAGAGTATCACTGCCCCGATGCTGCTGGGGAGGGATGCCGAGCCCTGGGCACGCCGTGGGGGCCTCTTTGGAGAGCTGCAGGTGAGAGTGTGCCCCTCCCTCTCTGTGGGGGCTGAAAGAGCCATGGGAAGGCAGCATCCCAACCCTGCTGCTGAGCTGCTGCAAACTTGGGAAGGCAGAGCTGAAGGCAGAGCTGCACCCGGCCTCTGCACCTCAGCTGTGGTTTCTGGGGTTTCTGGAGTCTCAGAGCCCTTCTCCTGCTGCCTCCAGGATGAGGTTTGGAGCCAGGATGAACTGATGGGCTCTGTCTCTTCCAGGCACTGCTGCCCGTGGGGAACAGCTGTGACCTCTTCTACCATCCACCCCCACTCTTCCCATCCAGCCAGCTGTACCTGCTGCGCCCGCTGCTGCCCCTGGACAAGGTGGGAGCTGTGGCATGGAGGGGGGTCCTGCCAGAGCCTTTGCATGCCTTGTGCTGCCCATAAAATGATGATTTACAGGCTGAGCTCCCAGTGTGGGGGTGACACAGGGCAACTCTTGGGGTGGAGAATGTGCTGTGGTCTCAGCAAACCCTCCTCTCTGTGACAAGGGCCTGGGCAGAGCAGGAGAGGGAACCCCCTCAGCCATGGATAAACCAGCACCAGGGCAGGGTTGCCAGGTTGTGGATGATCTCCTGAGCAGCCCCAGTGCTGATCTCCAGCACTGGCTGTGAGTAGATGTCAGGAAAAATCCAGAATAAGACAAGTCTGGATGGCAACTTCCCGCAGCCTTCACCAGTCTGCAGCTCTGGGCACTGCCAGAGCCTGTGGGGATCCATCTCCAAATCCCTTCTTCAAACTCTCATCCAGTTGATGGGGTGATTCCCTGCTGCAGAGCAGCAGTTTCTGTCAGCTGTGAGCTGCTTGGTGCCAGCCCCCTGCTCTGACATCCCAGCAGCTTGATGGGATGGGGAGAGAAAAGGAGAATCTGCATATGGAGGGACAAAATGTTAAAGGTTTCCATGTACCTGCAGCGAGCAGCCCTGTCCCTCACCCTGCTCCTCTCCAGCTCAAGGAAAGGCTAACACCACAAATCCAGCCACCACAAACACAAATCCAGCTCATCTGCTCAGGCTGAACCTCAACAATAACAATGTTGAGAGGAAGAACCAGCTGAGCCCACTGGCCCATTGCAGGAACAGGCACAGCAGGGCATGGTCCTGCCTCTTGTTTTGGGTGAGCAGGGCAACCTCCCCTTTCAGGAACAAAGCTTTTATCAGAATGTTTGCAGCAGCAAACTCAACTGTGACCAAGGCAGACATTTGGGGATGTCCTGCTGTGCTCAGGCTCTCTGGAGATCTGAGTTTCAGGGTTGTTTTTGGTGCCATTCTGGCTGCTCTGAGTGTGCTCCAGCAGCTGTTCCCGGGATGCCTGTCCAGAATGGCAATTTCTGTGCTGTGGCAATGAGCCCGAGGCCAGCAGAAGGTGGTGGCTGGCATGGTGGCACAGCAGGTACAGCCAGGCCTGACATGGATCCGGGTCTTCCAGGGAGAACTTTACCGCATGTGCCGGGAGAGTTTGGACTGTGATCCCAAAGTGGCAGAGATCCTCGTGGCCCACCCGGATCTCCTCGGTGACAGGTGAGATGTGGCCCCTCTGAGGTTCCCTCCTGGACACGGTGCAGGGCTGGGGGAGTGAGGAGATGACCTCTCTTGGCATCCCTGTGGGGACCAACACAGCCCCGTGGCTGGCAGTGGCCTCACTGGGAGGGACAAGGAGGGACATCCCTGTGCTGATGTCCAGCAGGGACATGGAGCCACCGTTGTGGATGTCCAGCCTGGATGCTGGAGCTGCATCCCCTTGGCTGAGGGGTCTCAAAGGGGTGGTCAGTGTGTGCTGGGTGTGAAGGAGGAGGCTGCTCTGAGGTTTCCCAGGAGCTCCAGGCTCAGCTCAGCCATGCTCCTGCTCTGCCTGGCAGGCTCCTGGGCAGTTTCCTCAGCCTGAGCCCCGAGTACACCTTTGTGCTGGAGGATGAGGGTGGCCCGTGTGGCTTCGCAGCCGGAGCACTCCACGCCGAAGGCTTCCTGCAGCAGCGAGACAGCAGCTGGCTGCCAACCATACGGCACAAGTACCCCCCAGACCTGGGCACAGGCGGCCCAGCTCTGGGACAGGTGAGGGGACACCTGGAGCAGAGGGGAGCGCAGATGGGAGAGGTAGAGGGGGTTCCCTCACTTGTGCTTGTCTCCCACAGGATGCCCTGGAGGAAGCAGTGCTCTTCTTCCACTCAGAGCCACTGGCAGTGCCCCAGCCCGTGCTGAGGCGCTTTCCCTCCCTGGTACAGCTGGGCACAGCCCCCCGTGTGCTGGATGTGGGGGCCAGTCGCAGCCTGGCCCTCTGCCTGCTGAGTGCACTCAGGGCTAATGGTGAGCATGACCTCTGAGTGCTGCCCTTCATCCAAGGGCCGGGAGCTGTCCCCTGACAGTGCTCCCAGGCACTGTCCCCTCCCCTTGCACTGGGGGACATGTGGGCCTGTGTCTCAGGGCATCACAGGGGCACTCTGTGACAAAGGGGCAGGGGACAGATCGATCCCCTGATGGAGGGGGGGTCCCTGTCACTGTGCCCCCAGTCCCAGCACTGGGGTCTCGGTGCCCTGAGCTCTCACCTCCCTTCCAGGGTCACGGGGAGTGTTCTGCCAGGTCAGTGACACCGACAGGCAGCAGCTGAGCTTCTACAGCAAGCTGGGCTTTGTCGCCCTGCCGGTGGCCTGGGGCAGCTCTCCCGGCGCTCAGCTCCTGGGACGACTCCTCTGACTGTCCCAGGCCAGGCTGGTTCCCCACCCCAGGCCAGGCTGAACCCCCCCATCCCACACAGCATCGGCCTGAGCAAGCAGGAGCAGAGGGGCACCTCGAGAGGGGACATGGGGGCGAGCAGGATGTCACTGGTGCCACCTCTATGCCACCCCAAGTGTTGCTGTTTGCTGGGTACCCTCCACCTTTGCTGGGTGTGCAGACCCTCAGGCCTGCAGGAGCTCATGAGCAGTGTTTGGGTTGGTGGTCCTGGGGCACAGCACGGTGCCTTAGTGCTACAGGAGTGTCCTTGTCACGCTGGCTGGGCTGCCCAGCTCCCTCCATCCCCCGTGTGGCCTGAGACTGGGCAGAGGGTGCTGGGGCTGGCTCTCGGCACTGAGGATCTGCTTGTGTGTATGGATTGATCTGGTATAGGATGTGGGGAGGCAGCTTCTTTTTTTGTGCCTGGGGCCTGAGGGAAGCGCTGTCCTTGGCAATAAAGCGTTTGCTGGGCTCTCACCTTGCCTCGTTTCTTGGGGGAAAGTGTTGGGGTGCCAGCACATCCCTCTCACACCCTGACAGGCTCTCACTCATCTCACACTGGCTGTTGCTACAGCTGGTCCTGTGTTCCCTCAAACAAAGCAGCACCCCACACATCCCAGCTGCACTCTGGGAAGGTGCTCCAGCTGCTGGCAGTGTGAGCTCACGCTCCGAGCCCTGCAGGGATTTTCCTGCAGGATGAGACCCTCAGGCTCGGGGGGTTCCATCCTACCCAGGACAGGCAGGATGACCAAGGGGGGGGATCTGTCTAGCTGCCCCGGCTCCGGGGTGAGCAGAGGGCCGGGTGGGGCCGGGACGGCCAAAACGCCCCGGGAGCGGCGGGCCGGGGCCGGCCCTGGAGCCGAGCCCGGCCGGGGCGGGGGCTGGGCCGGGCCCGCGGCGGGCGGCGGGCCGGGGGTGTGGGTGTGGGCCCGGGCCCGTCCGGGCCGTGCCGGTGGCGGGGCCGGGGCCGCTCGGAGCGGGCCGGGCCGGGCCGGCGGGGCGGCCCCGGACACGGGCAGGGCGCGGGGCGGGCCGGGGCGGAGCGCGGCGGCACGGACCGAAATTGCTCGGCTCGGCTCGGCTCGGCACGGCGGGGTACGATACAGCGCGGCACGGCTCGGCTCGGCACGGCACTGCAGAACTCGGTACGGCTCGGTTCGGCTCGGTACGGTACTGCAGAACTCGGTACGGCTCGGTTCGGCTCGGTTCGGCTCGGTACGGTACTGCAGAACTCGGTACGGCTCGGTTCCGCTCGGCTCGGCTCGGCTCGGCTCGGTACGGTACTGCAGAACTCGGTACGGCTCGGTTTGGCTCGGTTCGGCTCGGCTTGGCTCGGTACGGTACTGCAGAACTCGGTTCGGCTCGGCACGGCACTGCAGAACTCGGTTCGGCACGGCTCGGCTCGGTTCGGCTCCGTGAGATACCGTGCAGGGCCCGGCTGTCCCGGGGCACCTCGGGGCTGTCCCGGGTGCGGGGCTGGGTGCGGTGATGCCGCCCCACAGCTCGGTGGTCGGAACGTGGCCGTGCCGTGCCGTGCCGTGCCGTGCCGTGCCGTGCCGTGCCGTGCCGTGCCGTGCCGTGCCGTGCCGCGGGAGTTGCCGTGGGCCGTGCCCGTGGGCAGCGCGGGTGTCCCACGCGGGGCTGTGGGTGCCGCTTGCGGGGCTGTACCGCGCCCCAAAACCTGCGGGTCACACGGGGCGTGGAGACTCAGGATTTCCATGAAGAGCGGACTTGCTGTAGCTCATGGAAGAGAGAGGCTGGATGGATGGAAGGATGTGGGGCGGGAGGGTTGGCGGCGCTGGAAGGGATGATTCTTCTCAGCTGGCTTTTCGCCTTCCCAGCTGCTCTCAGAGGAGCCAGCAGCTCAGCCGGTGCTGTCTCCAGCATGTCCAGGGTGCCTGGGACACCAGCCCCACCAGCAGCCCCACCAGCAGCCCCATCACCAGTCCCACAGCCCCTCTGCCCGTGGGGATGACCGATGTTTGTGCTTTCCTCCGAAGTCTTCCCCTCCTGCCTCCTGCCAGGACCCGGGCAGAGCTGAGGGCCCTGCTGTGTGCTGGGGAGGCTGGGTGGGGGTAGGAGCTGTGCTGTGACCTGCCCTGCCTTAGGGAGTGACAGCAGGACTTGGGGACATCAGGTAGCCCAAAGGACCTGGAGTTGTCAGAGGAAGGGAAGTGCAGCCCCAGCCTCACGTGTGCGTTCTGCAGCAGGGTCCCTGTCCTTGTCTGGGATGGGGACGCACAGTGGGTGGCAGGGGTGGGCACCCTCCCTTCAGGCAGTGAGCTCCCAGCCACAGGAGTTGTAATTTTGGGAGTGACACCAATCCTGCCAGGGAATCCAGATTCCTACGGCGACCCTGGGCTGCTTCCTGGCGCTTCTGCAACCGGTTTGTGGAACCATGTTCCCTTCCAAACCCTGGTACTGCTTACCCCGGAACTCTGACCCATGTCAGGTCCCCTCCTGAGCAGGGTGGGGGTGTCAGGGCTCCCCTGCTTCGTGCACATTTGCTCCTGGCATTCCAGGGCTGCCGGGAAGTGGGAAAAGCGGAGCAGGCCCATCCAGGCGGCCGGATTGCGAAAGGGCCGAGTGTGAGGGGCCCTGGGGAGAAGGGGAGGGATGGAGCCCTGAAGCCATGGGATTCACCAGACCTTCTCCTGCCCCGACTGCTCGGGACATGACCTCATGCTCTCAGGGATGTCCTGGCATGGGACATCAACAGAGAGTGACTGTGTCACCCCTTAACCTTCTCAAGGAAGGATAAACAGAGCGAGCTTCCTCTCCCTTGTGCTGGCGGGTTTCCCAGGTCTCTTGTGCTGCTCCTCTCTGAGTCCTCCCAGTTGTCAGTGCCTGGGATGCTCCATGTCCCCCGTGGGTGTGTCCAAGGCTGCTGCTGAGCGAGCATATCCCTCAGGGGCCTCTGTGGCCTGGCCCTTCCCTGCTGCTGTGGCTTGGGATGTCATCCCTGTGCTGCAGGGATGCCCCGTGCTGATCAAACACACGGACCTGCCTCACCAGGAGCTGCCCCTTCCTGAGCTCTGTTGGTTGTTCACTGAGGTTTTGGTGGGGCAGATTGTCCTGCTGTGTGCCCAGTCAGTGCTGAAGGACACACATGGTTTGAACAGTCCTGGGGCACCCCCACCAGCACAGATGACCCCTCTGGAAGAGGCAACCCCTGTGCAAGATGCAGGGCAGTGATGGGGACAGTGCCTGGCCGTAAGTCACCTGCCAGGGTGACTCTGTCCTCTGATCTGTCACCCACTGGGACAAGCAGAGCCAGTGGGCTGTCATGGGAGCAGTTTGAGCAGTGTCATGGCTCCTGCTGCCATGTGGGGCTGTCCCCTGCCCTCAAGGATCTTCTCACCCATGCCAACATCAGCAGAGCCGGGCTGAGGCTGAGGACTGGAGGGATCCCCAGGATTTGGACTCCACAGTACTCTCAGACACCCCACCACCAGCTCCAGCTGCGCTGCAGGCTGGGATGTGGCTCAGGGCCTCGTGCACACCCGGCTGGGACATTCCTGAGGTTTCCTGGGCAGTGGCAAGAAGCTGGGCTGCTTCCCGGCTCCCACGCCCAGCACTCGCCGCAGCCAGCCCGTCCTCCAGAGCCCTTTACCCTCACAGTGGAGTTCTGCTGAGCATCTGTGCTTGGGCAGCACATCCAGAGTGGCACAAGCACATCCAGAGTGGCACAAGCTCTGGTCCAAGAGGAGACTGTCCCAGGCTGGAGCTGACAGCAGCGTGGTTGGGATGCTGAGGTGGGCTCCCCATCCAGAGCAGCAGGCAGGGCTGGAGCAAAGTCTGTGAGCAGAAGGAGCAGCCGGGCAGCAGGAGAGGAGCAAACACACAGCTTGTGCCTCAGAGAACGGAAAAAGTGATGTGGACAATGAGAGCCCTGTTAGCCTGACTGCCCGGGACATGGACACGGGCACGGAGCGTGTTCGGAGAGGGAGGTGGTGCAGGAACGGGGAAGGAGCCGTGCTGTGCTGCAGGGAGCTCACATGGCAGCTGTCCTGGGCTGGGCATGGAAAAGGCTTTGGCCCCACAGAGCACAGCTAGAAATATCACTGGAAATATCACTGGGAAACTCTGAGGTGAGTGGCAGAGCTGAGGAGCCAGGGCAGAGGAAGGACAGTGGGGATGAGAGATGCTGGAGCAGAGCTGGAGCAGGACCCAGGAGCAGAGATTACAGACCCTGGAGGTCATGTTGCTGATCCTTGGAAGGGAATCAGTGATTTGCTGCACAAAGCACTTTTCAGGTACCATGTTCTGGACCTCTGTGTTTTGTTCCTCAATGCACAGATTTTTATTTTCCTTATAGCCAAGGATGTAGGCTGCACACTGCTGATTTACCAGGCTGTCCTTATTCCCATCTCTGATTCCCCCCCATTTCTGTCTCTGCAGTCTGTACCAGGAAGGTACTTTTTTCCTCCTCCTGGCACAGTTTTGCTTTGAAAACCATGTGATCCTCACCAGAAAGCCCACGGAGTGGTGACTTCCCCATGTAACCACATTTTACTTCCAGCAGGTGACCAGTTTTAATCCACTTAGCAGAAGGTGCACTGATTTTGTTGAGTGCTAATTATTCCTTAAAAGGTGGTGCAAGATGAATCGAATGCCTTCCAGTCTCAGCCTGTTATATCAACACAGTTGCTCCAATTAACAGGACCTGTGATCTCATAAAAGACCATTCCCACTTCCTGACACGGGTTATTTCTGCCGGACCGTGGAGATTGGCATTAATTGTGCTGTTGTCCTTTGGGGTTGTACTGACCCCGTTGTGAAACTGCCCAGTTCCACAGCAGAGCATCCTGCTCACTCAGGAGCGCTGGGGAAGCTCCAATCCTAAGGAAACACACCCCAAGGTGTGTTGCAGTTAGCACTGAGGGGACCCACACTTGTGTGTCAGGACAGCTCTGAGGGTTTACAGCCCTTCCTCTGGGCAGGGCAATGTCCCCTCGGTGACCCAGGGGTGGAAATAAGAAGTTTTGTTACTCCTGTGAGATGGCAAACTCATCCCTTGTCTGTTCCCAGGTGGTGTGGAGATGAGGATGGAGAATTCCCATTCCAAGCCCAGAAATCCCCTTTCTTAAGCCACTGGCAGGGCTGAGGTGGCCCTCTGCACCCTCCCTGCCTTCCTGCTGGCTGGGTAAAAGGTTCAGCAAAGCGTTCCCCTGCTGTCTGCCCACAAACATGCGTCCTGCTGAGCTCTGGCAGTGCCAGAGCAGGCAGCTGAGGCACCAGGAGCCCAGAGCTGGCTCTGACCAACCCCAGCTGCCTGGGCCATGTCCCCACCAGCTCTGGCTGTGTCCCCTGTCCCCCAGTTGTGATAGAGGAGAGAGCCAAGCCCACTCTGATGTGGTTGCTCCGAGGGAGGTGATGTGCTGCACAGAATTTAAGGGTTGGAAAAGACCTCCAAGGTCATCGTGTCCAACCTTGACCAATCCCCACCTTGTCAGCCAGACCAGAGTAGTGACTGCCACATCCAGTCATTCCCACCACTTTGGCATGGAACTGGACCAGCAGTGCTGGTCCTTGTTACTCCTCACTCTCTTCCTGAGCATCTCTGCAGGCTCATCCCGAGGTTCTCACTGCTCCTGGTGGCACCTCCAATGTGACATGTGCCCAAAAGGACAGGCAGGCAGCAGGGCTGGGCCTTGTGGAGGCTTGTGTTGGTGTTGTGGGTGTGGAAAAGGGGCTGGCACTGGGCACCATCCTGGTTCATCCTTGCCTGGGCCCAGGAGGCATTCCCAAGAGGCCGGAGTGCGGGTCAGGTCCTCATCATCTGGAAAAGTGAACCAAGCAGGAATGGGGCTGATTCCTCTGTGAAAACCCTGCCCTGGAGGCTGGTGGGGAGGTGGAGCAGCTGTGCCAGCCCCCAGCTCTGCGTGGGGTTGGAATTTTTTCCCTTTCTCTGTGATACTGCAGCTAAATACAAGAAGTTTAAATCATCCTGGGAAAGCAAAAATTTTGTTGTTTTTTTTTTTTTATGTTTTCTAATGGCAAGCACGATCTGTGTGAGTGCAGCAGGGAGGATCTGTGCTCAGGGGGCACTTGGAGACAGAAACATCCTGTTGGGGGGTTGCCCTGGGGCTGTTTTGGGGGAATGCTTTCCCACCATGGAAGGGACTGGCAGGGATGGTGGCACGAGGCTGCAGTGGTCAGCGAGGTGGGCATGGGCGAGCATCGGTCAGAGCTTGTCAACACCCCCCGTGCAGAAATGCTGCTCCTGAACTACAGGATCCATGGGAACAGCACACTGGGAAGGGAGGGCAGCTCACAGAGAAGGGTTTTCACTATTGTTTGCCGTGGGACTGGTACAGGAATACCACATCTCCCTCAGGTATTCGGGGAGCCACGAATGTTGTCAGAGGAATGTGAATGCTCCGGCTGCCTCACTCCGAGCGTGGGCTGGAATCCCCTCAGCCAGCAGCCATTCCCTGCTCCTGCTGGATCGAGCTCCTGGCTGGTCCAGCTGGGCTTTCCCTGTGCCCTGAGCCTGTTCCAGCTCCCTCAGCTCTGGCAGCTCATCCCCCTCCTTCCATTCGCCTCTCCTGGGCACACCCCTGTGCCCACCTGCCCTCACTGCCCTTCAGATGTGACCAGGCAGCACGGTGGGGGCTCGGTGGGGGCTGTTGGCAGAGGGGGACAGGGGACAGGGGCACTGGGCAGGTCCCAGACAGCCCCAGGGGTGTGGGGACTGTGTGTTGGGGGCACTCTGGCCAGGATGAGGCACGTGGCTGTGCTGGTGCTGGGCAGAGAGTTTAACCAGCACAGTATTGTAAATGCAGGCAAATCCAATGGGAAGAAATGCTGATGTCTGACTCAATTCAGAAGGCTGAATTATTTCTTTATTATAACTATGCTAAAAAACATTAATATACCATATAAAAGGAGGATACTAAAACTACAAACTACTTTCTCTGACTCTAACACAACTCGTGACCCTCTCTCTCAAGTCCAGCCCTGGGTGGGTTGGGTTGGGTTGGATTGGATTGGATTGGATTGGATTGGATTGGGTTGGGTTGGGTTGGGTTGGATTGGATTGGATTGGATTGGATTGGATTGGATTGGATTGGATTGGATTGGATTGGATTGGATTGGATTGGATTGGATTGGATTGGATTGGATTGGGTTGGGTTGGGTTGGGTTGGGTTGGATTGGGTTGGGTTGGGTTGGGTTGGGTTGGGTTGGGTTGGGTTGGGTTGGGTTGGATTGGCCACCAGGCTCAAACAATCCTCACCAGAATCCAACCAAGCACTCACCCCAGGTAAACAACTCTCCAAACACACTCCACATGGGAAAAACAAGGAGCAGAAATAGAAATTGTTTTCTCTTTCATTTCTCTCTGTGCACCTCTATGAAAAATCCTGAGAGGGAGAGAAACGTGCTTGCCACAGCGCAGAGCTGGGCAGGGGGGCTGGATGGGGGTGCTGAACCCCAGCACGCCCTGAGCCTGTCTGCCCCTGCAGGGCCACGCTGCCATGGGAGGCTGCAGCTCGTGGGCACGGCCGGAGCTGCTGCTGCTGCTGCTGCTGCTGGGCAGTGCCTGGCTGCGGGTGGGCAGTGCCCAGCCCACCCCCCCAGGCCCTACACACCCCCCTGGACCCCAGCTGAGGGTCCGCCTGGCCGGTTACCCCCGAAAGCACAACGAGGGTCGTGTCGAGGTCTTCTACAACGAGGAGTGGGGAACCATCTGCGACGACGACTTCACGCTGGGCAACGCGCACGTGCTGTGCCGGCACCTCGGCTTCGTGGCCGCCACCGGCTGGGCCCACAGCGCCAAGTATGGCAAAGGAGTCGGTAAGAGAGGGCTGGTGGGCACGGCATCCCCCTGGAACAGATTTGCAGAGTGCCCAGCAGCCATTCTGTGTGCACATGTGGGAGTTTTCCATGTCAGAGCAGCCCCGTGGGGAGGTGGAGACTCAACATCTGCAGACAGAATTTTATTCTTGGCCTCACCTTTGTGCTACAGCTCCTGCTGTAAACCTGCCTGGTCCCTGCCATGCTCTGTGGGCACCTTCCTGTTATTTTTATGGTTTTCCCCCCCTCCACACAGCCCCCCGAATGAATCCGACTAGCTCAGAGATATGGGGCTGTGAGGGGAGGAAATAGCATGAGAGGGAAAAGTATTCAAAAGAGGCTCCTTACCCAGGGTGTTGGAACAGCTCTCTTTATTCTGTGGTGTCCATGGAGAGCAGGGCAAAAGAGGAAGAGCAGGAAGTTTCAGGGGTCTATATAGGTTTTGGACAGGGTGGGCTCTCCTGGCTCCCCGCCAACCCCATTGGGGCAGGGGGGAGGATCCAGGGGTTATCTTGATCAGAGCCACAGAGGCCCTAGGAAAGGGGGGACAAAAGGGTGTCCAGGAGCTCACCGTAACACCTTCCCTGTTCCTAGGGGATGCTTGGCTCCCCCCTCACCCCTAGGTTGTGTCTGGCAGGGAGGATCTGGCTGGACAATGTGAACTGTGCTGGAAACGAGAAGAGCATCGGGGACTGCAAACACCGGGGCTGGGGGAACAGCGACTGCAGCCACGAGGAGGACGCGGGTGTCGTCTGCAAGGATGAACGCATTCCAGGCTTCAAGGACTCCAACGTCATCGAGGTGAGGGAGCTGCTGGCCAGACTGGGCAGCAGGTGACATCCAGGATGCCACAGAGCACCCCGAGTGTGGGGCAGTCTGGGAACTCTCGCTGTGGGTGCAGGAAAGCAGCACTGGCTTTCCTGGTTGTGCTCCCTGGAGATGCACCTGGGAACCCGAGGGGACAAGAGGCACTGAGCTCTCTGGATGAGATTCAATCCTTGGCTGCCCAGGGCCATCAGATGTGGCCAGCAGGAATGCAGGAGTGGCTGTCCCTGTGCCCCAGCTATGCCTGCAGACCTCTCTCCTTCATCCTTGGCGATTCCCTGGGGGTGGGCTGGCAGGAGGAGGGGTGATGGGATGGGATGTGAGCTGGGGCTGTCCTGATCCCCACAGACTGAGCAGAGCCACGTGGAGGAGGTCAGGCTGCGGCCGGTGGTGTCCGGGGGACGGCGGCAGCTGCCGGTGACAGAGGGCATCGTGGAGGTGCGCTACAAGGACAGCTGGGCACAGATCTGCGACCAGGGCTGGGACAGCCACAACAGCCGTGTTGTCTGTGGCATGATGGGCTTCCCGGCAGAGAAGAAAGTCAACAGGAACTTCTACAAGTGAGTGAGGCTGGCAGGGAGCCCACAGGGGTGGGGTGTCCAAGCAGGGCCAGGGGCACGGGGCTGGTGATGAGGTGGTGCTGGGGGCACAGCAGAGGCTGTGCTGTTGGGTGTTGTGGCTTCTAAAATCCTTCCCACCCTGCTGCTTGCCAGTCCAAGGCCCAGCTGGCCATCTGGACACTTGCTAACCAAGCTGGGGAGCCATAGGGTGGCTACCACACACACTCCAGCAAAGGCCACTCCAAGAGGAGCGCTTTTGCACCTTGGCAGTGCTGTCCCCATCCCAAGGGGAGGTTTGCTGCCATCAGGGGATGCTCCAGCCACACCGTGGCTCGAGCAAGGGGCACGGACACGCCGTGCCTGGCACTGTGTGTGCCCTGAGCAGGCAGCTCCAGTGTTGCTCCACAGGAGGCTGAAGCGAGCAGCCAGGATGAAGGGCCTCAGCCCGAGGCTGGGCAGCAGGTAAGGGGCCAGGGAGCCCCATCTGCTGAGCCGTGGCAGAGCTGGGCTGTCCGGCCCCTCCGGTCTCTGCCGTCAGAATGGATCCGGGCACAAACGGATCCAGACGGAGCAGACTGAAGGCTTGGGCTGTGCCGGCCCAGTAGGACAAACCCCACCCCAGGGCACCTGCCTGTGCGTGCTGGGGTCCCCCATTCCCCACGAGAGACGATCCCTCTCCCAGGCTGGTCATGCTCCAGGCAGAGCAGCCCTGTCCTGCACACCAGGCAGGAGTCCTGGCACCCTGGCAGGGCAGCAGGAGGCCTCGGGGCTGAGCTGTCTCTCCTGGCAGATGGGGAGGAAGAGCTGTGGAAATGGGCTGCTTTGTGCAGAAAGCAGCACTGGGGACGCTGGAAAGGCTGTGCACCCCTCCATTCCCCTGCAGGATGGGCTGGCATGGGCACCAGAGCCCGTGCTCAGCAGTGCTGATGGGCACAGCGTGGCAGGTCGTGCCCCAAGTGCCACATCTGCTTGGAGTCCCTTGCATCCTCTGCCCACTCATTCTTGCTGCCTTTCTGCCAGGCTCAGGGGATGGTCTGGCTGCCTTTTCCCTCCATCCCTGAATCCTGCTGCTGGATTTGTTGGTGGATACAGTGAGCCAGAGCCCATCCTCTCTGGGCTGGGGCATGGTACCTCTTTCCTGAGCCTGCTGCCACGATCTCTGCCCCCAGCACAGGGCCTTGCCCCAGTCCCACCACCTTCCCTGGTGCTGAATGTGCTCTACACCCACTGTGAGCTCTTTACTGTGACACTCTCTGTCCCCAGCAGTCATCCACAGTCATTTGAAGGCACAGGCTAATCCAGGCTGGAAGGGACCTCTGGGAGTCCTGGTCCAATTATTCCCTGGGTGGAGCAGAGCCAGCTGTGGGTTAAACCCAGGACTTCATCCAGCTGGCTTTTGAAACCTTCCAAGGATGGAAATTCTGCAGCCCTGCGGTCTCTGCTCCAGTATGGAACAGCCCTCATGGGCAAAAGGTTTTCCTTACACTGAACTTGGGCCTTTTTTTGTCAGTGATGCCTCTTTCCTCTTGTGCTCTTCCTTCCCTGCTGGTAGAGCCAGAATCCTCACAGCTCCCACCTCAGCCCTGGCTGGAACAGTCCCACACCCCCAATCCTCTCCACGCCCTGTCTTGCTGCTCTCTCTGGGGCTCACACCACATTCATGACATCTTGTCCTGGGAGCCCAAACCCAGGTGCAGGATCCAGATGTGGTTTCCTGAGTGTGAATGGGCACTGATGCCCTCTGGCTGTCTGAATCCCAGCCCTGTGCTGTGTTCTGGGGCTGGCTGGGCTGTGCAGGCTGACACCAACCTGTGCTGGCCAGCGGGGACAGTGGCCAGGTTTGGTTCTGCCTGGTCCCTGGGGCTGTCAGTCCTCTGCCCTCCTTTGGGCCACTCTGCTATTCACTCCTTGTGGTCTCTGGGGTTTTGGCTCTGCTCAGCATCTTCCTCCCTGAGGGAAACAAGCATTTGGGGATGTTGGGATTGCACCTACACCTTGTGTGTGCTTAAGCCTCATGGCTCAGCCTGTGCCAGGGCTGTTTCCCTCACTGGCAGCAGCAAGTCCCACCGTGCCCCATGGCCCCAGGGCAAGCACCCTGGGGCTGCCTATGTTGCTTGCTTGGTGCTGCTTGCCAGCTGTCCTGCACCTTGGGGACATGGCACAGTGATGGCTTGATATCTGGATGAGGACAAAGACACCACCACACCTGACCGATCAAATGGTGGCTGCTGGTGTTTGATCTTTTGGTCTGTGACAAGGCAGAGCAGGATGTGGCTGCATCCAGCAGTTTCCTGGTGGGATGCATGCAGGAAACTGCATCATTGCTGTGGAGTGTGGCTGTGTCACACTGCTGGCAGCAGATGATGCTGTTGCACCCCTGTGTGACACAAGGGGGATGCACATGAGTTTTCCTGGGGGCCAATGTGCCCAGTTCAGCCTCCAGTGAAGCCAGGGCAGGCTGTGCTCCCTGTGTCACTGCTGAGGACAGAGGTGACAGCCTGAGACCCCGGGCTTTGTGATGATTGTTTTCTATTTTCCAGGCTGGCCTCCAAATCTCAGCCTAAACAAAAGCGCAGGGAGGACGTAGGGCCCAAGAAGAGGTAAATGGCTCCAGTGGAGAGCCAGAGACAGGAGCCCCGTGCAGTCCCACCAGAGCTGTGCGTGTCCCCACGTGCGTCCCTGTGCTGCTGGGGGTGTGGGACAGACAGCTGGCAAGGGGTGGCTGCCTGGCAGGCACCGTGTGTCACCCTGGGGACAGGACAAGGGGCACAGCCAGCGCATGCAGCTGCAGGCAGGGTGGCTGGTGACACCTCCACTGCAACTGGCCACGCTGGCCATGGCTCAGGGCTCATTTTCCCTCACAGGCTCTTCACAGAGCGGCAACAGCTCAACTACCGCCTGCACTCAGTGTCCTGCACGGGGACAGAGGTGCATCTGTCCCTGTGCTCCTTTGAGTTCTACCGGGGCAACTCCTCTGCAGCCTGCAGCTCGGGCATGCCCGCCGTGGTCAGCTGCGTGCCCGGGCCTCTCTTTGCCACTGGCAATGCCCACAAGAAGAAACAGCGCCAGCAGCAGCAGCAGCAGGGCCAGGTGAGCCCCACAGGGAGGGGGATGAGTCCTGTGGTGTGGCAGTGCCCCACGGCCAGGCTGGTGTGTGGGGTGCTGGGTGACCAGCTCCACAGCAGGAGGTGGGGATGATATCCTGTCCTGCACGTCCCTGGAGCTGTGCCCAGCGCTGTGTGGCACCATTCCACGCTGTCCCACGCCTGTCCCTGCTCCCACAGCCCCGGATCCGGCTGAAGGGTGGCGCGAGGGTCGGCGAGGGCCGTGTTGAGGTGCTCAGGAGCAGCGAGTGGGGCACCATCTGTGACGACCGCTGGAACCTGCAGTCGGCCAGCGTCGTGTGCCGCGAGCTGGGCTTTGGCAGCGCCAAGGAGGCCCTCACCGGGGCACGCATGGGGCAAGGTGAGGCTGCTGGGGCAGAGGGGACAAGCATCCCCTCCTGGAGCTGTGGGTGAGGCGTTATCCAGGCTTTGCTTGGCTGAGGTGTCCTGTGAGCACTGGGATGCATATGGAGCATCCCAATGGGACCACAGCCACTCAACCACGCTGCCCCAGTGTGGCAGCAGCTGTGGAGGCTGCAGTGTCCAACTCTGCCAAAAAACAGAGGGCAGCCTTGGGGATGGGGTGGCTTTGAGCATCCCTGTGTCACAGGGCCCTGATTTCTGCTGTCCTCTGGCAGGGACGGGCCCCATCCACCTGAACGAGGTGCAGTGCCGGGGCACCGAGAAGTCCCTCTGGGACTGCCCCTCCAGGAACATCACACAGGAGGACTGCAAGCACACGGAGGATGCGGCTGTGCGCTGCAACATCCCCTACATGGGCTACGAGAACCTGGTGCGCACCACGGGGGGCTGCTGGCTCCATGGGGCTCCCAGCAGCAGGGCCTCGGAGTGGGGTGCTGGGAAAGGCCCACAGGATCCATGGGTCCTCATCTCTCCTCCTCTGCACCCCACACATTTCCCTCTGTCCTGGGAGCTCAGGAATTTTGTGGGTGGGAAGCCCTGTGAGGAAGGGGGTGGAGGGGAGGCTGTGGGGGCTCTGTGGGTGCAGCTTTGTGAGGGGAAGTGTGGGGCAGCTGCTCCCTGCTGCTTTTCCTGCTGCCAGCCTGCGCCCACTCCCCAGCAGAAACACCAGAAAAAAAATCACTGTGGGCCAACCAAGAGAGATTTTTTTTTTTTTCACCTGTGATGAAACCAGCAAATGGAGCCGCTTGTTCCTGTGTGCCCATCGTTTCATCCACTTTGAGCTTTTTTAATGATCTTTAACTCTCTCACAGCTGTCATTTCTGAAATGACACCATTTCAAAATGTTTTCCCTGAGCTGGTGAGACAATTCCCAAACTCACAAGCGATTTGTTTGTCCCCAAATCCACTGTTTTTTTGGGAATTTCCCTGCCAACTAAAGCTGTGCTTGGCTCTGCTCAGTTCCTGCCTTCCCCATCCCCCTGTGCAGGCGCTGCAGCACAGGACAGGGGCTGGGGACAGTCCTGCAGCCCTGGGGGAGCATCACTTGTGAGGATGATGATGCTGCCACTGCCTTTCTCTGCAGATTCGGCTGAGCGGGGGCCGGAGCCGCTTCGAGGGGCGGGTCGAGGTGGCGGTGGGGGACCAGCCCCGCTGGGGTCTGGTCTGCAGCGAAGGTTGGGGTACACTCGAGGCCATGGTGGCCTGTCGCCAGCTGGGTCTGGGATTCGCTAACCACGGCTTACAAGTAGGTGCCAGCACCAGCTTGGCCAGGGCAGCAGCACCCACCACCACTGCTCACAGGGCTGGGGACAGGGATGGGTGGGGATGGCAGCACAGGAGGTGGCACGGCGTGGGGTGCATGCTGACGGCCCCAGGGCTTCCCCACAGATCCGCCTGGCCGGCGGGAGGACAGAGTTTGAGGGCCGCGTGGAGGTGAAGCGAGGCAGTAAGTGGGGCACGGTCTGCAGCGATGGCTGGACCACCAAGGAGGCCATGGTGGCCTGTCGCCAGCTCGGCCTGGGCTACTCCCTGCATGCTGTGACGGTAGGTGCCAGCGAGGAGGGCCCCGGGGATGCCAACGACCATGGGGCTGCGTGGGGACGGAGGGACGTGTGGGCAGCTAGAGGCCTGAGTGGCTGTGGTGGGGGGCTTGGCTGCAGCCTGGGTATAAGTGATCCCAGCCACCAGCCCTGCCACCCACCCTGCCTCACCCCCTCGCCAGGAGACCTGGTACTGGGACGCCAGCAACGTGACAGAGATGGTCATGAGCGGGGTGAAGTGCGCCGGCCACGAGATGTCCCTGAGCCACTGCCAGCACCACGGTGCCAGCCTGAGCTGCAGGAACACGGGCACGCGCTTCGCTGCGGGCGTCATCTGCTCCGAGAGTGAGCGGCCACGGGGGCTGCGGGCAGCAGAGACCCCATTGCTGGGTCTGGGGCTGTGGGGCTGTGGGTGGGGGTTCTGCAGAGAGGGGGCTGTGGGCAGTGGGGTCTGTGGGCAGTGGTGTCTGCGGGCTGTGGGGCCTGTGGGCAGTGGGGTCTGTGGGCAGTGGACTCTGTGGGCAGTGGGGTCTGTGGGCAGTGGGGTCAGTGGGCAGTGGGGTCTGCGGGCTGTGGGGTCAGTGGGCAGTGGGGTCAGTGGGCAGTGGACTCTGTGGGCAGTGGGGTCTGCAGGCTGTGGGGTCTGTGGGCAGTGGGGTCTGTGGGCTGTGGGCTCTGCGGGCAGTGGGGTCTGCAGGCAGTGGTGTCTGTGGGTAGTGGGGTCAGTGGGCAGTGGGGTCAGTGGGCAGTGGGCTCTGTGGGCAGTGGGCTCTGCGGGCAGTGGGCTCTGTGGGCAGTGGGCTCTGGAGGCAGTGGGCTCTGGAGGCAGTGGGCTCTGGAGGCAGTGGGCTCTGCGGGCAGTGGGGTCAGTGGGCAGTGGGCTCTGCGGGCAGTGGGGTCAGTGGACAGCGGGCTCTGCAGGCAGCGGGGTCTGCGAGCTGTGGGGTCTGCAGGCAGTGGGGTCTGCGGGCAGTAGGGTCAGTGGGCAGTGGGGTCTGCGAGTGCAAGCAGTGGGGTCAGTGGGCAGTGGGGTCAGTGGGCAGTGGGGTCTGTGGGCAGTGGGCTCTGCGGGCAGTGGGGTCTGAGGGCAGTGAGGTCTGTGGGCAGTGGGGTCTGCAGGTACGGACTCTGAGCAGTGGAGTCTGCGGGCAGTGGGGTCAGTGGGCGTGGGGTCTGTGGGCAGCGGGGTCTGTGGGCAGTGGGGTGTGCGGGCAGTGGGGTCTGTGGGCAGTGGGGTCTGTGGGTAGTGGGGCCTGTGGGCAGTGGGGTCTGTGGGCAGTGGGGTCTGTGGGCAGTGGGGTCTGCAGACAGTGGGGTCAGTGGGCAGTGGGGTCAGTGGGCAGTGATGTCTGTGGGCTGTGGGGTCTGTGGGCAGTGGGGTCTGTGGGTAGTGGGGTCTGTGGGCAGTGGGCTCTGTGGGCATGGGGTCAGTGGCAGTGGGGTCAGTGGGCAGTGGGGTCAGTGGGCAGTGGGCTGTGCAGGCAGTGAGGTCTGCAGGCTGTGGGGTCTGCAGGTACGGACTCTGAGCAGTGAGGTCTGCAGGCTGTGGGGTCTGCAGGCTGTGGGGTCTGTGGGCAGTGGGGTCTGTGGGCAGTGGACTCTGTGGGCAGTGGGGTCTGCAGGCTGTGGGGTCTGCGGGCAGTGGGTTCTGTGGGCAGTGGGGTCTGCGATTGCAAGCAGTGGGGTCTGCGGGCAGTGGGGTCTGTGGGCTGTGGGCTCTGCGGGCAGTGGGGTCTGTAAACAACAGTATTGTGGGGCCAAGAGCTGTGCTCAGTGGGGTTTGCAGCTGGAGGCCGGTGGCCAATTCCCAGCCAATGCAGAGGGCACATGTCCCCCCTGGCTGGGCATTGCCCCGTCCCCTCCACTCGCCCCATCCCTGCCGAGGGCAGGGCCCGTCCCTGAGCGGCCGCCCGTCCCCAGCCGCCTCGGACCTGCTGCTGCACGCCCCGCTGGTGCAGGAGACGGCGTACATCGAGGACCGGCCGCTGCACATGCTGTACTGCGCCGCCGAGGAGAACTGCCTGGCCAGCTCGGCCCGCCTGGCCAACTGGCCCTACGGCCACCGCCGCCTGCTCCGCTTCTCCTCCCAGATCCACAACCGCGGCCGCGCCGATTTCCGCCCCAAGGCCGGCCGCCACTCCTGGGTCTGGCACGAGTGCCACCGGTGCGTGTGGGGCACGGCCGGGAGGGGCGTGTGGGCAGGGGACAGACGGGGCTGGGGGTCACGGAGGTGCTGCTGCAATGGGCTGGGTGAGAGCGATGCTGGGTGAGGAGGGTGCTGGGCAGGGGTGATGCACGGAGAGATGGATGAGTGCGACACCGGGTGAGGGTGACATTGGATAGCCCCAATCTGCTGCCCAGGATCCAAGTTTGAATGGTTTGGCTTAGGGCTGATCCTGGATGAGCAGTGTTGGGGACTCCAGGAGGCAGAGACAATGTGCCAGCTGGCTGGGGACAGCTGTGTCCCCTTCCAGAGCAGGACACAGCTCTGCCCAACCTCACAGTGCTGCCACCTCAGAGCAGGGGCTGTGGGGACATTCCTGGTGGCGAGGAGCTGGGCTGATGCAGCACAGGGAAGTCTGCAGCAGCTGCTGGCTCCCTCCCACAGGCACTACCACAGCATGGACATCTTCACCCACTACGACATCCTGACCCCCAACGGCACCAAGGTGGCCGAGGGACACAAGGCCAGCTTCTGCCTGGAGGACACCGAGTGCGAGGAAGGTGGGCGACACGGGGCCCTGCAGCACCGTCCCTGCCTGTGTCCCCATCATGGGCCAGGCTGGGGGTCTCAGCAGTGACCAGCTGTGTCTCCTCCTGCCTGCAGACGTGGCCAAAAGGTACGAGTGTGCCAACTTTGGGGAGCAGGGCATCACCGTGGGCTGCTGGGACCTGTACCGGCACGACATTGACTGCCAGTGGATCGACATCACTGATGTCAAGCCAGGCAACTACATCCTGCAGGTGCTGCACCTCTCCAGCCCCTCCTGCCATCCTCCCAGCTTCTGTCCCTGCACCTCAGCCCCCCACACACTTCAGTCACCCATCCTTTTCTCCCACTGGAGCTCAGTGGGGCTGGTGGGTGTGGTGACATGGGACAGTGCCTGTCTCTGTGCCCAGGGCTGCTCAGACATGCTGCCACATGGGTTTTCCATCTCTGAGCAGCACTGCTTATGGGCACAGGGACAGGACCACCCCACCACCATCAGCAGCTCCTTGGAGCTCTCCAGCACACCCACCACAGCTGGGGTGTCACATCCTCTGGGTGTGGGGCAGGGATCTCATTGTCTGTGCCCCACAGGTTGTGATCAACCCCAACTTTGAGGTGGCAGAAAGTGACTTCACCAACAATGCCATGAAATGCAACTGCAAGTACGACGGGCACCGCATCTGGGTGCACAGCTGCCACATCGGTAACGGCCCAGGGGTGAGGGTGGAGGGCAGGGACAGGGCTGCAGGAAGCCGTGAGGATGAGGATGGGCTGGGCTGGTGGTGCTGGGGGCACCTGCAGTGCTGGCAGGGGATGCACTGCACCAGAGCTGACAGCCCCTGCCCTGTGCCCGCAGGAGATGCGCTGAGCGAGGAGGCCAACAAGCGGTTTGAGCAGTACCCAGGTCAGCTCAACAACCAGATTTCATAGTGCTCCAGCCCTGGGGAGACAGGCATCTCCCTCCCTCACCCCACAGGGTGGGAGGAAGCCGCTGGGAGACTGGCAGGGAGGCCTGATGCCCAGTGCTGCTGCCACTGTGTCCTGCTGGGGACTGCCCAGGACTCGCCACCGGCTGCCCTTCCCCACCTCGGGGGGGCTGGAGGCACCAACACCTGCACCTCCCAGCCTGGGGCTGCCACCCCAACCACTGGCCAGAAGACCGTGCCCACATCCCCTGGGCTGCGGCACACGGGTACAGTCCGGGAGGTCCTGCACCCCCCACCGCTCCATCCCTGCCATGCCAGCTGCACCCCAAAACTCCCACTCCCCTTTTCAGCCCTGGTTCCTCTCACCCCACAGCTCACCCCCTCAGCTGGCCCCAGGGCCCACCACCCACACAGGGCCCCAGGAGCCCCCGGGGATGGTGCAGGTGTCTCTGCCCACAGCCCTGCCCAGGGGTGGCTCCTACCCCATCTCTCAGTTGTAATTTTATTTCCTCTATAAAGTTGTAAGTTCTATTTCCCAATGGTTGCTGGCACATCTTTGGGCTGGGATGGGGAGCCTGGCAGGAGCAGCTGGCACGGTTCATTCTGCAGGGCTAATCACCACACTGGCACAGCGTGGGAGCATCCCCTGGCCCCTGCCATGCCTCATCCACACAGCCCTGGTCCCACACCGGCCCCCAGCACCCTCCTCAGCCAGGGCTGGTCCTCTGGGAGGAGGGAGGGACCAGCAGCAGCCCCACAGCAGCCTGAGAGGGGGAACTGAGGAGCAGGGATGTGAAGAGCCAGTTCCTCCTCACCAGATACCAAGCAGAAATCCCGTCCTGCAGCTGTGACCCTTGAGGATTGGGGTCCACAGCACTGTGATCCACAAGAACTGAGGTCTCACAGCAGAGAAGGGCTGCCTCAACTCGTGTGGGATTACAGCCCAGCCAGGCCTGTGGCTGAGATACTGGGCAGGAACTCTGGGATGTGACACAAGGGCTGAGACCAGCCCAGCTCTCACCCCTCAGCTGGGTGCTCTGACCCCACCGAGGGAGCTCCAGCCCAGCTCTGACCCCATCGAGGGAGCTCCAGCCCAGCTCTCACCCCTCAGCTGGGTGCTCTGACCCCACTGAGGGAGCTCCAGCCCAGCTCTGACCCCTCAGCTGGGTGCTCTGACCCCACTGAGGGAGCTCCAGCCCAGCTCTCACCCCTCAGCTGGGTGCTCTGACCCCACTGAGGGAGCTCCAGCCCGGCTCTCACCCCTCAGCTGGGTGTTCTGACCCCACCGAGGGAGCTCCAGCCCGGCTCTCACCCCACTGAGGGAGCTCCAGCCCAGCTCTGACCCCACTGAGAAAGCTCCAGCCCAGCTATGACCCCTCAGCTGGGTGCTCTGACCCCACCAGGGGAGCTCCAGCCCAGCTCTGACCCCACCAGAGGAGCTCCAGCCCAGCTCTGACCCCACCAAGGGAGCTCCAGCCCAGCTCTCACCCCTCAGCTGGGTGCTCTGACCCCACCAGGGGAGCTCCAGCCCAACTCTCACCCCACCAAGAGAGCTCCAGCCCAGCTCTGACCCCTCAGCTGGGTGTTCTGACCCCACCAGGGGAGCTCCAGCCCAGCTCTCACCCCTCAGCTGGGTGCTCTGACCCCACCAAGGGAGCTCCAGCCCGGCTCTGACCCCTCAGCTGGGTGCTCTGACCCCACCAAGGGAGTTCCAGCCCAGCTCTCACCCCACCAAGGGAGCTCCAGCCCAGCTCTCACCCCTCAGCTGGGTGCTCTGACCCCACCAGGGGAGCTCCAGCCCAGCTCTCACCCCTCAGCTGGGTGCTCTGACCCCACCGAGAGAGCTCCAGCCCACCTCTCACCCCTCAGCTGGGTGCTCTGACCCCACCAAGGGAGCTCCAGCCCGGCTCTGACCCCACCAAGGGAGCTCCAGCCCAGCTCTGACCCCACCAGAGGAGCTCCAGCCCGGCTCTGACCCCACCAAGGGAGCTCCAGCCCAGCTCTGACCCCACCAAGGGAGCTCCAGCCCAGCTCTGACCCCACCAAGAGTGCTCCAGCCCAGCTCTGACCCCACCAGAGGAGCTCCAGCCCGGCTCTGACCCCACCAGAGGAGCTCCAGCCCAGCTCTGACCCCTCAGCTGGGTGCTCTGACCCCACCAAGGGAGCTCCAGCCCAGCTCTGACCCCTCAGCTGGGTGCTCTGACCCCACCAGCCCCTTCCCCATCGCGGGGACCCCCGGTGCTGCCCGCAGCCTGGGAGGAGGAGGGGGCAGGAGGCCCTGGCTCAGCCCTGGACGCGCTGCGGTCAGCGCAGCCGGAGCAGCTATGCCAAACACGCCGCGATTTCCCCCGGGCCGGCGGCGCTGGCCGGGCCAGCGAATTCCTCCGGCGAGGCTGGGGCTGCTGAAAGGAGGCCTGTTCTGTTCTCATGGCGGGGGGAGCAGTGGCAGAGCCGCCCCTTGCCACAGCACCCTGAGGAACTGTGCTTCTTTCACGTCCCAAAATCCCATTCCTCCGGGCTGCCCTCGCCACTGCTCCCGCTCCAGCTCTTCCCAGAAGGTGAGGGACAGCCAGAGCTGCTCCTTCCCCGAAAGCCCTCGGCAGCCAGCTGTCCCCAGGGGCCGGGTGTGTGTGGGAGCAGAGCTCCAGCACTGACAGCAAGCTGGGAGTGGGACAGGCAGAGCCCCAGTCCCGGCTGTGGCTCCCATCCTCAGCCCTCTTGGACATCATGGCCAGGAAATGCCGCCCCAGCCATCACAAATTCGGCATTGACACCAATTTACCAACCAATTTACCGAACAATTTACCATGGCCAAAAGCTGCTGCACAGGAGGGGATGTGGACACAGGGCGTGGAGCAGTCGCAGAGCTCCCAGCAGAAGGGATGTGACCAGATGGCCGTGGCACACCAGCACTGCTGCACTCCAGGCAGGCAATGTGGTCCCAGAGGGGCCACACAATCAATCCATGGCTCGACAGCCGCCTGCCAGGTACATAGAGGAGTCAGATCACAGCCCAGGCATGTTCCAAGCAGGTGGCAGAACACTGATAAGGTCCCTGGAGGCACAGCGAGCTCCTCCCCAGCCACAGGGTCTCATGTGGGGACTGACAGGAGGAGCAAGGTCCCACACAGCCCACCACGGGAAGGAGGTGACATGGCCGTGGGGACCGCTAGAAAAGTGCTTTATTTGAGTACAGAGAGGAACGGCTGCACCACATGTCACCCAAGCACCTCTGCTGGCCCCTTCCAGCCTCCAGCTCTTCTCTGCCTCTGCCTGGCCAGCACAGCCACGTCTCAGTCCTGCCCTCAGCTCCAGCTGGGTGCTGTCTGCTACTCGGTGACCTCGGGGACGACGCTCACCAGCAGGGTGTCGTAGCCCCGCCGCACCAGCAGCGCCAGGCTCTGCTGCGTCCGCACCGCCTCGTACACGTCCTCGGCGCGCCGCGACACCGTCCCGTTGATCTCCAGCACCACGTCCCCGGCCTTCAGCCCTGCCCTGTGAGGACAAAACACACAGAGGGTGAGGCAGAACCTCAGTGTCACGTCCTCCGAGTGCAGCAGGAGCTGTGGCAGCAGAGGTTTTACAGCTGTACTTGGCCAGCAAGACGCTCTGGGAAAAGGTTCCCAGGTGGTTTCTGCTGTAGAGAACAAACCCTGCTGCTCTGGAGGAAAACACATCCCACAGCTACTCCCTCACCCAGCCCTAAGCAGCACTTACTGGTGTGCTGGGGAGCCGATGATCACCTTGTGGATCAGCACGCCGTAGGAGATGTCGGGAAAGGTGGGGTCACGCAGCTTCAGCTCTGCCAGGATGCTGCAGAGTGAACATCAGCATCAGGGATGGAGCTGGAGGCACAGCAGGGCTCTCACCCCACTCCCTGCAGCTGCACAGCCCTAGAGACCAGGCACAGAACCTCCCCTCCTGTGTCCCTGTACCCTGCTGCCAGCCGAAAACATCGTCATCCTCCTGTCAAAACAAGAGGATGAGGATCCCAATGGCACCAGGGAGAGATGGAACCCCTGGAGCAGCTGCCAGCTGGATCAGAGCTATGGTGATGCACATCCCCAAGTCACATCACCCTTCCCGGGGTCAGACCCACCCCTCCTCTGCTGCGGTTTCACTTCTCTGCCCTAGCTGGGCAGGATACACAACACAAGCCGTGCCCCTCTTCCTGCCAGACGTGTCAGCAGAGCTCTCCTTCTGAGTGTAGAGACAAAACAATCACAGTTTCTCAGACTTTCCCACAGATTTTAGGATTTCTAAACCAAATTTAAACTCTGCATCTCCCACAGCTCCTCTTTGGACTCTCCCCAGCTGCTCCTCACCCATCTTGAATGAAATCCAGAAGTGGATGCAACACTCCAGCTGGATCTCTCCAGAGTGACAGCATTCTTCCCTCAAACACTGCATCAGCTCCAATCCCTGCAGACCCACACACTCAGTCTGTGCCCAGCTCTGGTCCTGTCAGGTCCCTGCTCAGCCAGGCAGGGCTCCCCACGTGGCTGTGGTCCGTGCTGAACTCAACTGTGCTGTCCCACAGCCCAGGGAAAGCTGCCTTCCCTTCCCAATTTCACACAGCAGAGGTGGGAAGAGGCCTCTCAAGTTCATCGCACCCAACCCCCAGCAGGCTCAGTCAGGGCAGGCTGCTCTGGACTGCATCCTGCTGGGTTTTAAGGATTCTCCAAGAACCCTCCAGGCAATGTGTGCCAGGCTCTGAGCACCCTCCTCATGGTAAAAAATGGGATTTCTTGTGGGCTCTCACACATCTCTGTGCCCACTGCCTCTTATCTGGCCTGGGCACACACACAGAACAGGGTCTGAGCCTGAACCTGTGCCCAACCTCCTTCCCGTGCCAGGGAAAGGTTTCCAGATGGAAAAGTTCAGGGTGTTCAGGGCAATCACCCGATTCCAAGGCGAGCAATCCCTTGTTGGGAGCCCTTCCTGCTGGGCACAAACAAGCCTGGCAGTCAGGTGCTTTCCCTGGACTGCCCCAGGGGCTGTGCAGAAGCTGGAACCACATCCCCAGAGCTGTGTCCGAGGAATTTCACGCTGCCTCCTGACAGACTGGGTCAGGGAAGCAGGAGGAGGCTGGGCTGGCCTCCCACATCCCTCGGGTTCTGCCGGCTGCCAGCACCATCTGCTGGGCACTGGGGAACTCGCCAGACCTTGAGGAGGGCAGAGCACAGCCCCAAAAAGGGTTTGCCCAGCATGGCACAGCCCCACGGGGCAGCTGAAGGTCTCTTAAATGTGGCTGCAAGAGCCAAAGAACCAGAGCAGGTGCTGACTTTCTCCCAGAGGTGAGAGCACAGGTCCTGCTTGCTCACATGGCCACTTCACAGACTTGTTTGCATTGGAAAAGACTTTTAAGCTCAAGTCCAACCATCCCCCCCGCTCTGCCAAGGCCACCACTGACCATGTCCCCAGATGCCACATCCACAAAGCTGTTGAATCCCCCCAGGGATGGAGATTCCAGCGTAGCCTAGGCAGATGTGCCAGGGATGGACAGCCCTTTCCAAGAAGGAATTTTCCCCAATATCCA